TAATAAATCTTAGTGTATTCTTACTACTTTAAGGGAGGCTTTTAGGGTCTATCTTATCCTTATAAATTAGTCTATAAAAGCGTATAGCTACTATATCTCTTGCTAGTTCTACTATTAATTAAGTAGAAGTATTACTAAATATTAATAATATATTATATTTATATTTTTATTAACTATAAATTTATTATAACTATATAAGAGAGCCTATCTATAGTCTAGTATAGAATACCTATACTAAAGAAGTAGATCTACCTCTAGGCACTATTAAGAAAGGGCAAAGTATCTAGGCTACTTAACAAAGGAAAAGAGGAATAGTAAAACATAGGAAAACTACTTACACTATAATAATGTCTAATAATAATAATATATAGATTAATTAATAGGTTTTATAATTCTTAGACCTAATCTATAAAGATACTAAAATAAAAGTATAAATTAATAAAGTAATTATAAAAAAAGTAAATTTCCCTAAGTAAATAAAAGTGCAGTAATAACTAGTAGTGTATTTTTATATAGAGTATTAAGGCTAATAATAACAACTATGTATAAATAATTATGTCCCCTTCTAATCTCTTCTTAGGTCTATAAATCCCTTTTTTAATAGGTAGGTGGCTTTCCTGTTAATTTATTCCTTAAATTAACTACTATATAATTCTTATAACTATACTACCTAACCTTACTACAGTATATAACTCTTAATTAGCTAGACCTATAACTTTAGGTAAGTAGTTATATTTTAGTAGCTACTTAAGAATAATTATATATAGCTAGCTATTAAGGTAGCTAATTTAGCACTTAGATTTATTAGTGTTCTATATCTTAAATAGGCTAATATTATACTTATAGAGGGCAGCCTAGTACTAAGTAAAGAAGTCCTTTATTAGGGCTAGGTCTAACTTAGCCCCTTTCTAGTATAACTTAACTAGTTTAATAGTGCCTTTTTTCTAGAGCTCTAGATAGTTAGTAAGCTAGCTCTAGATAAAGTGCTTAAAGACTAGTAGTTAACCTTAGATACTATAGAGGTAGTTAGCTATTTCTTTAACCTAAAGTAGTAAGGCTAAAAAGCTAGATTTATAAAGCTATATAATAAAAGCGCTAAAAGCTATATCTTTAGCCTTTGTAAGCAACTAGGGCTAGCTAGGCTTATCTAGGCTAATATAGAGGTTATAGCCTTCCTAAAGGGCCTAGAGGTACTTCTAAATTACTATATAAGATACACTATAATCCTAGGCAGCTTAGTGTATAAAGGGTATATTAGTTACTAGCTTACCTACCTATTAGTAGGTTACTTATTAATAGGTAATATATAGTATTTTAGCTACCTTTTTAGTAGTAGTTATATTCTTATTATATTAGTAAGGTATATTAAAGGGTTAAAGTAAAGTAAGTAGTTTAGTTACTATTAATATCTATTAATAATATATCTAAATAATTGCTTGTTTTTAGTGAGAATATAATAAAAAGTAGGACTAGGTTGGGATAAGTGGTAACCCTATTTTCCTAGTGGCAACCCTATTTTTTTGCCCCCTCCGTGAGGAGGGGGTGTTTAGCTTTGACGAAGGCTGACTAACACCCTCGGGTACAGTTCTCGCTCACCCTAGAGTGGCTCGCTTTCCGTCGGCTCAGCTATGACTTCGAGTGCCGGCCGACGATAGACGGCCACCCCTCGGGATAGCTGTCTCGGCTTTGTTCTAACCCGTCGACCTTTGTTCTCAAATTTCTATGAATTACTGGGATCGAGTCCCTGGTTTCCTATTTCAAATCAAAATCTTCAATTTGATTGCTTTTGAAAAAGAGGATGAAGTCTTCAAGGATCCTTCGTCGCGCGCCCCTGCGCTGGGCCATACCCGGAGCTGGCGAAACCACTGTAGCAGCTCGCTTCGCAGCACCGTCGACAACGATGACCTCCCAGGTCCAGTGCCGCCGAGCGGCAAGCAGCCTCTCTCAGCGACCCAACGCGAACCATGTCTCCTTCCCGGGCGCCGTGAAGAGCGCCTTTACGAACACTCTCAAGTTCGAGACCCCCGGCGACTACCCCGCCGTCCCAACCTACCGCGTCGTCGATCAGGACGGCACCGTCGTCGACGATGCCTTCGTGCCGGATCTGGGTGAGAAGGATATCGTCAAGCTCTACAAGGACATGATCTTTATCTCCGTCATGGACCTCATCATGTTCGACGCACAGCGCCAGGGCCGGCTGAGCTTCTACATGGTCTCGGCGGGCGAGGAGGCGCTGAGCGTCGGTTCAGCGAGCGTCCTGACCCCCGAGGACGTGATTTTCTGCCAGTACCGTGAGCAAGGTGTTTTCAAGCAGCGCGGTTTCACGACAGCGGACTTTATGAACCAGCTGTTTGCCAACTCCAAGGACCCAGGCCGGGGGAGGAATATGCCGGTGCATTATGGCAGCAAAGAGTTGAATATTGTGGGCACCAGCCGCTCCCATTCCTACAACGAGTCTTGCTAATTGCTGAATTCAGCACACCATTTCATCACCCCTAGCAACACAGCTGCCACAAGCTTCCGGAGCAGCCTACGCTCTCAAAATCCAGCGGATGCAAGACCAGTCTATACCCCCGCGAGTGGTTGCTGCTTACTTTGGGGAGGGCGCCGCTAGCGAGGGCGACTTCCATGCGGCGCTGAACATCGCGGCCACGAGGTCGTGCCCCGTAATTTTCATCTGCAGAAACAACGGCTACGCCATCTCAACGCCAACGCTGGAGCAGTACCGGGGCGACGGAATTGCCAGCCGGGGTCTGGGCTACGGCATCGACACCATCCGGGTGGACGGCAACGATATCTGGGCCGTCCGGGAGGCGACCAAGAAGGCGCGCGAGATGGCGTTGGAGAATGGGGGCAGGCCGGTTCTGATTGAGGCCATGACCTACCGGGTGAGCCACCACAGCACCTCGGACGACTCGTTTGCGTACCGAGCCAGGGTCGAGGTCGAGGACTGGAAGCGGAGAGACAACCCCATCACGCGGCTGCGCAAGTACATGGAGGCCAAGGGCATGTGGGACGAGAGCAAAGAGAAGGAATGCAGGGAGTCGACGAGACGGGAGGTGCTCAAGGCGTTCAAGGAGGCCGAGATGGAGAAGAAGCCACCCATCCGGGCCATGTTTGAGGATATTTACGAGGAGCTGACGCCGGATTTGAAGCAGCAGATGGGACAGTTACGCGAGCATCTGGACAAGTATCCGGAGGAGTACGATTTTAACGAGTTCGAGGGAGGCAAGGGCAGCTTAAAGGCGTAGACTAGCCATGTTACACGATAGCTGCCTAAAAAGAACAAAAGAATAAGGCATCCTCAGCGATAAAGCCAAACGGGACGGGATTGGCCTCCAGATACTGCTCTCCGCCCCGTCTCCGTGTTGTCCAAACGTCTTAGGAATTTATTATTATTTTTTCGTCCTTTTTTCTTTCTGGCTCCATCCCCATCCCTCTGCTTCGATTTGGAGCGTTGGCCCGGACATTTCATTCATTGCTAGGTTGTGATGGCGCAACAAGAACAACGAATTTCGCCTCTCTAACCCCCACAGCGCTCGAGTCTGCCCTGTCAGAACCTAGGCCTCGCCAGCGGAATACATAGGCGTAAACGGAGCTGCACGTACATCGTAGTTCCTTAATAAGCAGCAATTATGGTGCCCGTGGGCCGTAGCGCCGAACCTCCAACATCTGGTGGCCAGGCGGGGTTACGCCTGCTGCTGTCACGCCGTGCCATGACCTGCCAGCGCCTGCCAAACGCTGCTGCAGTGCGCAGCAGCGACTGCACGGTCGGACACCCAACGTAGCGTCTTCACTGAGGTAGGTACGTACCCAAGGCGGTGCCTCTCTTAAGCTCGCACAGATACCCAATAATACTCTAATAAAGTCACTAGCAAAATAGGCTTGTGATGGCCCACACTAGGTCGACGACACGTCCATGACTGGGTGTGGGCGACGGTTAAGGGTTGGGACGGGACCGTTCCATGACATAAGGGCCTCTTGCGTGTGGCCGCAACCCACGACCTAGCTAGGTACTTTGGGCTGTGGACGCAGGGATCCCCTCCGAGTCTTCACTCGGGTGGGCGCTCCACTGCCCAGTGGCTGCTCTGGAGGGGGAAAAGTGGACTGGGCCAGCGATGTCAGAGCCATTGTACATAGTACATTATTGTATGGGCCTGCGGGATAGACAGTGTGGCCTGGCCTTGGGTACCTGTGTGTCTTGCCAGCAGTAACGGTGTGTGGTGTGTGCATGTCCCCGTCCACCGGCCACGGCCCATCAGTCAAACCAGACCCGACCGACACCTCTTCCCTCCATGCTGCCTCTGTCGCTGCTTAACTTCAACCGAACCAACCCCCGTAGACCTTCCCCGTACTTCGTCCGCCGACATCCTTTCTTCTTTTCATACTGACGACGACGACAACGTAGACGACAACTACGGCAACGATAACGACCGCACCCTCATCGAGGAACTCCTTGTTCTCCTTGTCGATCACCGTCCCCGAATTGAAGACGTTTCGTTTGATCCGTTGATTTCGGTCGAGCCTTCCATACACACCACTGCCCCTGTATCGTCTCTGGTGGCTATTCCGACCGAACTGATAACATTGAAATACCGCCTCTGCCCACAATACATCAGCACCGCCCGAGCTGTCCTGCCTCATGGCGTAATCCATGGCAGAACGAATCGCCTCTGCAAACCCGCGCTCCAGATCGGTAGTCGACCACGATCCCTCCGCGCGCCTCCCGTCCACGCCGACGACAGCGTCCTCTGCGTCGGGCTCACCCGCCTTCGCTTCGACTTCGCCCTCCCATCGGTAGGTAGCCGCGCTTTTCCCCGTAATTGCCGCATTTCTTTACAAGCCCCTTGCACTGTTTTTTATTCAAATTTCTAAATTTACTTCTGTGCGCATCACGAGAGACTAAGAGGGGGAAAGGGAGATCTGAAGGAGAAGACAAGAAGCAAAAGAAGAAGGAAGAACAAGAAGAGGAAGCAAAAAGAAAGAAAAAAGAAACGAGGGGCTTCCAGCAAATGAGCACAAAAAACACTCGGTCGGAGCAGTAGCAGTGCTGGGAGAAGGCAGCTCAGTGTTCAAGTTGTCGAGGGGCAACGAACAGTCACACAGCCAAACCGGCGCCTGCCTGCCAGCCCGCCTATCTGCGTTCACCAAGCCCGTTCAACTCTACCTCCTCCGCAACTGCGTCGTTTGATCCTCAAATCCAAACTCAGAAGGGACAAGAAAAAAAAAAGAATCACCTTTGCCTCAGGATCCGGCGTACCTACCCTCCTTCTTCCTTTAGATACCCGGAGCTAGGTACCCGGCCGGTTGGATCGAACTTAAGCGGGTCACTACCTATCGTACTGGCACGGCACCTTACCTCTAGAGAGAAGAAAAAAAGAGGGAGAAGGAGAGAGAGCAGGAAACGCCTTCTTTCCCACCATTGAAACACGGCTGCATCTGCATCGCACCGCTCCTTCACCCGCACCATCGACGATTGATATTCTCATCCTCGACGCTTCTTTTTCTTCTTCGCCTCGATTCCTCAAAATTTTTTTTTTTCACTTCTTCAATTTTTCGGTTCGCTTGGTCAGCCACGGCCAGTGCCATCCAACAATCACCTCTCCTCTACCAGTCCATCAATTCCTTACATACCAGCCTACACTGCACCGCCTCCACATCCGCATCCACACTACACACTTGACCTGTTGGGCTATACAGATGGCTGTTCGCACCCTCGATTCGGCTGCGTTGATTTGATCGTCACCTCTCGTCTTTCTGTTTATTGGTTCGGTCGGCATGCCTCGCAAAAACCAGTCACTCATGTCTTCTAGAATTACTAGGTCTTCTGCTCGGCAAGCAGCGAGTCTCGCAGCTTCATCCGCCCAGTCTACCGCCGGCGCCGATCTTACCACGACCGCCCCGGCTTTGACGACATCCAGTCCTCAAAATCCACCTCCGACTGCCTCGCGGAAGCGAAAAGCTCCAGCTCAAGCAGCTAGCCCTATTTTAGGAACACAACCGCCAACGAGCGCTTCGACTAGACGATCCAAGCGTCAGAGAGTAGTTGACGCTGTTCCGCTCCCTCAACATCCTCCTACACAGACACCTGCTCCGTCTCGCCCAAAGAGGAAGGGAAAATCCACCGCCACCATGTCGAGCCCAGAGTAAGAAGTCCCGCATTGATCCCTTGTACATCTTTGGCTGACTGTGCTGTCCAGCACTCCTACCGACATTGCAAACGCAAACGAGAACACTGCTCCTTCGGCCTCCTCTAGCCGGAAATCGAGCAGGAGCAAAAGGACAGCTCCCAGCGCTTCAGGTAATCAGATGCTGCTACCAACACCGCTCACTTGAGGATTATGAGACTGACATGGCTTGCACAGATCCTTCCGCCAACACATCCGGTTCTTCTCGTCGAACGAAACGAAATGCTGCGAACAACACCGACCAGGATACCACAATGACGGGTACGGACGACACAGAGAAAGATCCTATCCCTCCCCCGCCCCCGCCCCCTCCCGAGCATCATGACGACGACGACGACGACGATGACGATAGCGACGAGAACGATGAAGATGATGAGGACGGCCGAAGATATGATGACGAGGACGATGATCCATTCGGAGGGTTCGGCGGTCCTGGCGGCCCCGGAGGTCTCTCGAGCACTTTGCGAGCGCTTACAGGCATGATGTCGGGTATTTCATCACGCTTACGAGAGCTTCTCAACAACCTACGTCAGAAAGACGACCCTTCGATTCAGTTGATTGCTCTACAGGAGCTTTCGGAGATCCTCCTAGTCTCAAACGAGGATAATCTCTCGGGGCATTTCTCACCCGATTCCTTCGTCAAGGAATTGGTGACTTTGATGCAACCAAATGAGATCACGGGAGAGGAGAACCCGGAAATTATGCTTCTTGCCTGCCGTTGCCTGGCAAACTTGATGGAAGCCCTGCCCGCAAGCGTGGCCAACGTTGTATATGGAGGAGCTGTCCCGGTTCTGTGTCAAAAGCTGCTGGAGATCTCATTCATCGACCTCGCTGAGCAAGCTTTGAGCACCCTCGAGAAGATCTCTGCCGAGTACCCCTCCAGCATTGTTCGAGAGGGTGGCCTCACTGCCTGCCTGTCCTACTTGGATTTTTTCGCAACAAGCACCCAAAGAACGGCCGTCACCACTGCCGCCAACTGCTGCCGCAACATCCCTGAAGATTCTTTCCCAGTCATTCGAGATGTCATGCCTACCCTACTCAATGTGCTGGGGAGTAGCGATCAGCGAGTTGTGGAACAAGCCTCCATTTGTGTCTCTGGGATTGTCGAAAGCTTCAAATACCAGTCTGCGAAACTGGAAGAGCTTGTCAGTGTCGACTTGCTCAAGGCGGTTTTGAGATTGCTTGTACCTGGCACCACCAACCTCATTAGGTCGGATATCCACACCCAGTTCCTGCGTGTCTTGGCTTTCACAGCTCGTGCTAGCCCTCAACTGTCGGCGGAATTGTTCAAGCTCAACGTTGTAGAGACTCTCTACCAGATCCTGACTGGCGTGTCTCCACCAAGCGGGACAGAGGATGTTGCCTCCAAGCTCGACAGCGTTGTTATCATGCAGGCGCTGATTCACCGGCCCAAGGAGCAGATCATCGAGACGCTCAACGTCATTTGCGAGCTGCTTCCAAGCCTGCCCCGCAATGCTGACCCTTCATACGGCGACTTCGTCGAGATGAACTCGACAGAACCTATTACTCCATCGTCCACTGCACCTGGAAAGGCGCGCAAGTCACCCAACGATAAGAGAATTGAGCTTCTTGATGGCTGCAAAGCCGAGGTCCGCCGTTTCGCTCTCATTCTCTTCCCAACCTTAACCGATGCTTTTTCAAGTACAGTCAATCTCAATGTACGGCAAAAGGTACTCACTGCGCAACTGAAGATGCTTTCAAACCTGAACGAAGAGATCCTCGGAGAAGCATTGAAGACTGTTTCATACGCTTCGTTCTTGGCCTCAATATTGTCTCAGCAGGATCACCCCTCACTCGTCATGCTCGCACTCCAGGCTACGGAACTTCTCCTCAGTCGTCTGGAGGATGTTTACCGGTACCAACTGTATCGTGAAGGTGTTATCTCGGAGATCACGAAACTCGCCACCGAGGAGCAGACTCCTCCACCGGCAACAGAGCCGACTGGGTCGCAGGAGACCAGCAACACTGATCCGCAGGCTTCTGTGGACTCTGGAGAGCCGTCGTCGGACAACGAGGAGTCTGAAGATGATGAGGACCACGAGGAATCAGAGGATGAGGAGAACGAAGAAGAGAACGAGCACGGGCATCATCCGGACGACATCACGGGTTCACCAGTTAGCTCACGCGGGTCGACCATGTCGCTGGACGGACCTCCGCAGCACTTCTTGTCTGACGTTCCTTCGATGCGGAGTAGGATCCGTGAGGTGGCTAAGAAGTTTTTGGAAAACCATGAGACCGAAAAGCATGGTAAGACCATGAAGAAGAAGGCGCTTAAGATTCTGTCCAACCTGTCGGATCTTGCCGAAGAGATCGAGGCCTTCTACCTTCGCAGAACGGCCACCAATCTTGCCCCCGAAAATGGGGTGGAGCTCTTCAAGAAGCTGGCTTCATCATTCGACGCGGACGTTCTAGAAAGCGTCACAAGTGCAGAGCTTCTAGCTTCTGGGCTTGTAAGAGTGCTCTTGGAGGTCTTCAGCAACCCTGACGAGGAACTAGCTCGGACGGCACAGTCAGCTTTCTTGCAGGTGTTCATGGGTTACTCCGTCAAGTCGAAACCTAAGACCGCAACTGCTGATTCGCCCGCGACTCCGTTCAGCGTCATGGTTCACAAACTTCAAGATCTTCTCAGTAGATCCGAGCATTTCGAAGTTATCACAGTCCACCATAACACTTTCGACGGCAACCGCAGTAGTGCTGCGTCCATGCTTGCGAAACAAATCCGGCTGAGACTCGTTGCTGATGACGACTCTGACATCCCGCGGTCTTATCGGAACATTATGGTCTCAATCCACGCTATTGCTACATTCAAGTCACTGGATGATTACTTGCGTCCCAGAATCAGCCTGTCGGAACGACCACGCGGCTCCCGGCGAGCCGATAACTTGTCCAGAGCTCTTGCTTCGCTTGCAGGCTCCGCCGGCTTGCCTTTAAGCCACGCTGCTGCTAGACTTGCAGAACGTGCTTCAGCTGCCTCTGCGTCAAGCCCTATCCCGCCTCCGCCCAACGCAGCTACGCCTAGCGGTTCGCGTTCTCTTCGCAAGACCAAGACCAAGTCAACACCACCATCTGAAGCTGCAGCTAGTCCCGACACTTCTTCCACTACAAGGGACAAGGGTGTTTTGAGAAGGTCTACCCGCCGTGGCGCGGCATCCACGACTGAAAGTCCCGCGCCCTCACGGCCGCCTCCGGAAGAGGACGATTTGGAGAATGCACTAGAATGCGCAGATGAGAAGCACTTGTCCGATGACGAAGAGATTGGTGGCAGCAGCGCTCTGGATGCTATTGTGGGTGACCTAGATGAAGACATGAGCGAGTCCCCCGGTCCTGAGCCTGGTGCCGTCAACATGGAAATCGCGGCTGGTGGTAGGGTCACAGCACGCAAAGAGGATGGTACTAGAGTCCCTACGCCATCACAGAGTGCTCTCCCTACCCGGTCCGGCGCTCTCCCTCCCCCGCAGTCGCAGAGTACACCCACGCCCTCGACTTCGTCATCACGGCCCATGTCTTACGCTGCAGCTATCCAAACTGTCCCCCAAGACTGGCATATCGAGTTCACTCTTGATGGCAAGGTCATTCCTAGCGAGACTACCATCTACCGTGCCGTTCATACCTCAGCCGCCAACTCCGATGAGCATTTCAGCCGGAGTGTCTGGTCAGCGGTTCATCCCATCAAGTTCCGCCGTGCTCCTGGTCCGCCACCTGTGGAAACTCTGTCCTTCAGCTCCAACGCCGAGGCAAGTACGGAAGACAATGGCGACGGAAACGTGCCGGCATCCCTGGCCAAGTATCCTTCTACCGCCTCCATCCTTCGTCTACTCAATATCCTCCACGACTTGAACGCCAATATCGATGATGTTATGGTAGAGAACAGCGAGAAGGACGCCGTCCGACTCAACGTGGAGCCCTTGTCACAGTTTGTCAACACCAAACTCACTGCCAAGCTGAACAGACAACTGGAGGAACCGCTTATCGTGGCGAGTAACTGCTTGCCAAGCTGGGTAGAAGATCTTGCAAGACTGTATCCTTTCCTCTTTCCTTTCGAGACGAGGCACCTGTTCTTGCAGTCGACCTCATTCGGTTATGCCCGTTCCATGACCCGTTGGCAGAATGCCCAATCTGCGGACGACTCTCGTCGTGACCGTCGTGACGACAGACCTTTCCTCGGGCGACTGCAGCGCCAGAAGGTTCGCATTTCTAGATCCAAGATTTTGGAGTCAGCTTTGAAGGTCATGGAGCTCTACGGCGCTTCTCAAAGCATTCTCGAGGTTGAGTACTTTGAGGAGGTAGGAACAGGCTTGGGACCTACCCTTGAATTCTACTCGACGGTGTCGAAGGAGTTCTCCAAGAAGAAACTCAAGTTATGGAGAGAGATGGACTCGAACGACTCTGAAGAGTATATCTCTGGTGCGAGCGGCCTCTTCCCTCGGCCACTCAGTGACGATGAAGCCAGCGCTCCAAATGGTGAACGAATTCTCCAGCTCTTCAAGACTCTTGGAAAGTTTGTTGCTCGGTCAATGATCGATTCTCGCATCATTGATCTGAATTTCAACCCTACCTTCTTCCGCATCGGAGATGGTTCGTCGGCACCCGGCGTCAAGCCATCTCTTGGTGCGGTTAAGGTCGTCGACCCAGGCCTGGCTCGGTCTTTAAAGACCATCAAGAAGTTCGCCGTGGCTAAGAAGGAAATCGATGAGGACCCTTCACGCACCCCTGCGCAAAAGGTGGCCGACACCGAAGACATTGCCATTGACGGAATGAAGCTAGATGACTTGTGCCTCGATTTTACCCTACCCGGCTATCCCGAGATCGAGCTTATACCAAACGGCGGCCAGGTCCGAGTCACCATTGACAATGTGGACTCGTACCTAGAACGGGTCGTTGATATGACTCTGGGCACCGGTGTCCGCCGCCAGGTCGATGCATTCCGAACGGGCTTTTCCCAGGTCTTCCCCTACTCGGCCCTGAGCGCTTTCACTCCTGACGAACTCGTCACGCTGTTTGGAAGAGTTGAAGAGGACTGGTCGCTTGAGAGTAAGCTTCCGTTCCCTTCCTTAGCTTATCTTGACTGCTCACTAACTTACTCGATAGCACTTATGGACTCGATCAAGGCAGACCATGGTTACAACATGGATAGCAAGAGCGTCAAGAATCTACTACAGACTATGAGCGAGCTCTCTCCTCCTGAACGCCGTGACTTCTTGCAGTTCACCACGGGAAGCCCCAAGCTCCCGATCGGAGGTGCGTTTATTTACCTTGCGCATCCCCTATAAAATATGCATGCTGACGTATATATACAAAACAGGCTTCAAAAGCTTGACGCCCATGTTCACTGTTGTTTGCAAGCCGAGCGAGCACCCATACATGTCTGACGATTATCTCCCCAGCGTCATGACCTGTGTGAACTATCTCAAACTACCCGACTATACCAGCATCGAAGTTATGCGGAAACAGCTCTCCACTGCGATCAGAGAAGGCCAGGGGGCGTTCCATCTGTCTTAGATGGCGTTCTCATTTACCAACAAACTCAAAAAATACGAACAGGACAAAAGAAAAAAAGAAAAAAATCGGTAGTGTTGATGGTCAAGTGACTATGGTGGCAGCGGCAACGGCACTGCACATCCGCATGAAATGGAATGGAACATGCATCAACGAGCATTTCACTTCTCTAGAACGGAGGAACCCGATGCATTCCTTCTGCATCTGACGATTGTATGCAAAGAATTCATGGATGGTAACGGCCTCGGACGGGATGCACCAGTTTTGAGTGAGGTGGATTGAAGGGCGAAAGGGCAACATGGAAGAACCTCCCTCCCCCCCCCCCCCCCAACTCTAACTTGCATGGCAGGGTTGTTCAGGCGTAAGGGCTTCTTTTCAGTTTACCTCTTTGCTCTGGCCTCGGGGCATTTCTTAATTGATTCGGCACTGTTTTAGGGTCCATGACGGGGCCCAGGCCCATTTGAAGCCTGCTTTGATAAGAAGTGCCAAGGGTTTTCTAGTTGATAGAATGGTCAAATTGATTTGTGAGAAAAAAAGTCATGTTTTAGAGTGTCTGCCGAGGCGATCATGATGTGTAAGGTTCACGGCATGACCGACTCCACAAGATCGGCATCGAGTCTTGAGGCAAATATAGCATAGTGACCAAGAAGTATGTGATGATGCCTATATGATCTGTCCACCGTTCGTTCCATATTGCTCCTCTCGCCCACGCGATGACTTCCATCAACCAGTCACACAACGGGCCGTCATGGTCCGGCATGCAAGCTTACAAAAAGTCTCTTCATCATAGGATCTGGTGTTCCCCTATTTGCGCAATCAAAGGCTTGCCCGAGGCACCAAAAACAAACCATTTGATCCCGTCCCGTCGGGCACATGGCTCCCATGCCCGCCTATAGAACAATTGACAGAAAAAATTCAAAACATTCTTCCTCTCCCTCCCCAAACCTCTTTTCCGCCGCTGTCTTTACCACGCTTTGCTTCCTCGAGCAATTGAATAGAGAAGGAGACGCAGTAACAATAGACAAGGTAGCAAAAGTGGGTACACCATCTACATGAGTCCCAGTTACCCGCCTTGCCATATAGCTGTTCCCCACGTCATAGCGAGCAAAAATCAAAAGGGTAGATGACGACTGACAAAGCGACCTCTTGAAACATCGCTGAAAGGGCCGCTGCCTTGAATAGGTACTGCGGCAACCGCCCCCCCCCTCCCCCTCATGTATCAAAAGGTGGCTCCGGGCTTCAGCAGGTGCAGCTTCGGCAACTGCCTCTAGCGGAAACCGGCCTTGACTTCGGCGCGCGGCCACTCGAACAGGACATCCCCGCCATAGACGTCCGCCGTGATGCGGCTGATACGCAGTTCCACCTCGCCGTAGAAGCGTTCGCACTCGCGGAGCACCTTGTTCACCAGCTTCTGACTCAGGACAAGGTCGTCCGCATCACCAAAGTGTTTCTCAACGCGCTTACGCAGTGTTTCGATGCCCTTACGAACCTCGCGCGCGTCATACGTCGCCAGGACTTTGTGGAACGTCGACTTGGAGTTGGACGGCTGCGATGCGATGCTCGATCCGGGCTTACCGGACTGAAGCTGTCCCTCGATGTTCTCAATATATTCGAGAAGCTTGCCAAGAGGGCGGCGCATAACCGCGTTCAGGTATAGACCCATGTGCTCGTTAAGTTCACTGGTTGCGGCCTCGCGCCAGTCTTCGAGAACATCGAGGCCGTGCGTGTTGACCTCCTCTAGGAAATGGTTCATGTTTTCGATGAGGAGGATGTGGAAGTTGAGCGCCTCCTTATCTTCTGGATCCGCGCCCGCCGCGCCGACGCTGACAGCCGGGTTCTCGCGGGCGATAATTTTGAGCGAGTCGAACATGGACTTGAGAATGCGGCCGTATTCGCGATCGACTGTCTTGCGAACAGCCAGGTTCGGGTCGATGCCCGTAAGAATGTTTTCGACCGCGTTGGAAAACTGAGGGAAGACGCGAATGAACGAAATAACGCCCTTGCGCTTGTTGATCTTAACCTTGGTCTCTTCGATGGCACGGATTTGCTCATCGACGAACTTTTTGAAGCGGGACTCCAGGACGCCGTGGAGCTTTTGAAGCATGGCGTTGAGAAATTCCTGGTTGGATTGTTGGTAATCAACAAGGTTCCGCTCGAGAACAGCCAGGACGCCGGCCCCTTGCCTTGTTCGATTAGTTAGCATCTCATCCGTTGAGCGGGCTCTTTATAGACTTACAAAGGATCGGTCTGTATGACCCATTCGATGAGTTTTGCAACTTCCGTCTCGAGAAAGATAAAGATGGCTTCCATTGCTTTGGTCACTCTCCGAGCGAGATCGCGGTCTGGCTCCATTAGGCGATGGCGGCGCAGGTCACCACCTCGTCGGTCTTTCGGTCTGCTCGCTGCGACCAGGTCAGGGAAATCTGACTGCTCCAGGGTCGTGGCATGGAAGAAGTCAACGATAAAGTTTTGTTCCATCTCGACCAACGGCAAAAGGTCATCCAACACATGGCCAAACACCTCGTAGGGGAAGCTACGATTCTCGGTTCCCGCTGCCTCTTTGAGATTCGTTCTGCTGGCGGTGTCAATGGGTGAACGCAGACTCTTGGCCAGTGTCTGACTCCGCTTGACGGTAAGCTTCCTGACAGTGGTCGCCTTGCCTTCTTGTTGCTTTTCGACTTCAAACGTAAACAGGAGCTCGGTTGTCTCATCAGCAGTCATCTTGCGCGCGTTGCGCTTCCATGCCTCCAAAACCTGCCGGAATTCGTTCTTGTACACGGGATGGCTCTTATCTTGGTAGACCTGAATCATACGGTCCCAGTTGGCCGGGTCGACATCCTTGGAGTACTTGATCAAAGGACTGTACTTCCAAAGCATGTCTCGACCAACATCGTGATGACGGGAGTCCACCTTCCTCGACAGGGCCTCGCGAAGCGCTTTGTTAACCTCATTGTAGGCCGCGTCGAACTGCTGCGCCATGTATCCGACCAACCGTCGTGAGAAGGCGGCGCTTTCTTGACGATACATTTCTTTCTTTTCTTGGACGATTCTCATCTTGCCGTAGTCGGTGTTCTCAAGCCCAACAGCTTGGTCGCCTTCACCAACAAGATCTTGGCTCTTCCTTGGCTCGCCTCCTAACAGTGAGGGGTCGATCTTGGTCATGGCCTTGTAGAGGGTGACTAGGGACATCTCAATATCTTCGAGGCCTCCGAGATCCTCAAGCGGCGCGGCCTTCAGAGCATTGAGATCGGCCGTGGTGATGGTTGTCGTCTCCAAGAGAGATTCAAGCTCCTTTCTAAGGAGTTTCTGATTAGCCGTCTGAACCTGAAGACCCTGGCCTTGAGCTTCAATGTATGCAATATCATCGGACAGCGTCTGTCTTGCGTTAGTAGAATTCTCCACCAGGCACCCAGCCAACTCACCGACAGTTCAACACTGTAAAGTGTCAACAGGTTCTCCATCTCTTCACACTCAGCGACTGCCAGGTCGATGCCACGCTTGATGGCCTCAACGCGATCATCCTCTTCTTGGAATCGGGCCAGCCAGCCCCCAGCTTGAGCTTTGTTGAGTTCTCTCTCGAGCTCAGTTCTCATATCTTCAACGTTGCGCGATCTCATCTGCTCTCCAGGCACCCAGCCGAAGTAATCCAACCACTTGGTGAACTCTCCACTCTTGTTATCCAACACAGTGGGGTCAACGCCTAGAGACGCAAGATATTTGGCATCGTTGCCGGCAACAATCGACTTGCGGCTTTCTTCGTTTGCTGTTGACTCGTCGGGCTTCTTGGGTTCTTTGATTAAAGGTTGCACGCTCGTCGGGCGGCTAGGGTTAGGTACAGTGACCTTTACCTCAGGCACACCGGATGTACGCTTGGAGGGTTCTGTAGGAGCTGCTGATGGTGCGGGTGAAACAGCTTTCTCAGCAGCTGCCTCCGGAGATGCTGCTCTCTTGGGGTCGTTAGAGGAGGTTGGTCTGGGCGGGGGTTGGAACACAGTGGTAATCCCTTCCGCCGGCTCGGCGCTCTTTCCGGCAAGTTGTCGTAGTCTTTCGCCAGCACCACCAGGTCGGGGCCTGAAGGCTGTGGCAGCAGACGCAGCCTTCCAGAGGACACCAGCGAGGTCTCCCTTGGACTTCTTGGACTTGATCATCGGGCCCAGACCTGGCCGACTCTCTTCCTCCGGCTCAGCAGGCGGTTCAGGGACGGGTGGGGATACGGAAGCTGCAGGCGCCTTGGGAATAGGCTCATCAGCCGGAGGTAGAGGCGCTGGGGACGGAGCTGGAGGGGGGCTCGTTGCTATGGGGGAAACCGGGGCAGGGGGCACTGGGGTCTCGGATGACGGCGAGACGATTGCAGGAGTTGGCCTCGTAGGTGTAGCCCCCCCATTTGGCTCAGGCGTTCTGAGCGTAGGAGGAAAATCTGCTGTTCTCGGATCAACAGGCGTGAGAGGGGTGACAGGTCTATTGTCTCTGTAAGAACCAACGTCTGACCGCTGCGATATTGAGTTCTTCCTGGCTGTGCTTCGCGGCGGAGGAGCAACTTGATCTCGTCGCATCCCTGGGCTAATTAGCGGCGCGGGAACCAAGTCTCTATCGGCGAAGCCCTGCGGTCGTGCCGGGTCCATCGGAGGTCTCTTTCTTTCTGGCGGCCGGCCTCCTTCTTCCGATATTGGTGGCGGCGGTGCCAGGACAGGCTCAGACGGCTGCTCGGCAAACCTGCCCATTGCCCCTGAGCCAGGCATACCGTTCCTCGAACGAGGCGGCAAACTGCTCGCATCCTCGCTCCTGGCTCCTAGAGACGGGGCAAACGATTCCTGGCTCTGGTTTCCGTAGCGCCGCAGCGTAGGGGGGTCTTGAGAAAATGACGAAGCCATGCTTCCGACGGGCGAGTGAGAAGGCATTCCGTTAAGAGGCGGCGGCCGGCGTGGGCCAGGTGGCCCTGGAGAAGGAGTGCCATGGTTGGAGGGTGCTGTGTTCCCGGCCAAGTTGGACTGACTAGAAGCAGCATCTAGCGTAGAGGGGGGCGGTCTGAAAGGGAGCTGGCCAGGCGGCGGCGGCCTTCGATCGTTTCTCAGGATCTGAGCTATTTCAGAAGGGTCAAAGCCCAACAGTTCGGGGGTCTTGCCGCCCGTGTATTTTCCATAGATCTTGGCCAAGCTGGCAATAAAGAACTTCTTTTCCTTGTCCGATTGCGCGTTCCAGAAATAGGGCTTGCCGAGAGTCACGACGAAGCCAGTGTCCCCGGCCCATTCACGAAAGTTGGGATTAGCCGACGGCCCTGTAAAGGACTCGATGGCAGAGAGGTCGTCAAGGTTCCATGTTTTTCCAATGGAGAAGGAACCGTTCGCATTCTCCTTCGTCTTGTGCATACGCACTCGGCCACTTTTCCTTACAGCAACGATTATAACGCGGGGTTTCTGGGTTTCGGGGGTTCGTGCTTGAGGCGGCGGCGGAGAGGTCGGGTGGGAGGAGTACTCGGTGATTCGGATGTGGGTGATGTATGTCTCCAGCACTATCGTCATGAGGCAAGGGTTAATACTATGAGCAGCCATCGGGGTGTTTATCCCCGGAGGAGCGGAGGGGGGAGAAGAGGAACTGAATTTGACGCACGCGATCCGTCCACATCCTTCTTGGTGAAGCAACTCTCGATGATGCGCCGCTTCTCATCTTCGAATCGCTGGGCCCTGCTGTCCATGGCTGCTCGGTTGGGCGGTGCCGTCGCAGTGGGATGGAGCACTCATGAGGGGGTTCGCAATGCCACGGGAGAAATCGCTTGCATGACTATCGCGGCAAACGGATGGGTCGACGAGGAGTGACGCAGCGATAGCGACAGGCGCTCGGAAGGATATTCGATTCACGTTCTGGTGGGATTTCGAGGCCGGGTCGGTCGTGATGCATGCCAGAAGGGGAGCGACGTGTGCAGGTAGGTAGGCAAATAGGTGTGTCTGGCCGGCCCTGGGGGTAGCTTGCTGCCAGTCTCTGGTCCCGCTGGGTGGTTAGAGGTACCTTGGCCCTTCATTCTGGGGCACTTCGGTTAGGGCGCGCCTAGCCAGCGACCGAACAGTGCCGCCACCGCATCACCTATCATCTGTCAACATGTTGCTGAATGCAGCAATATTACTCCAACCATCTGTACGGATATAACATCATTGTATGTTTTTCTCGATTTCGAGGACTAAAAGCTAGCAGCGTCCCTCTTGGCGCTCATCAATAATCGACTATCTCTAAGCAGCTGAGTTCTGTGTCCAACTCGACGATACATGGACGGTACCTCCCCAAATGAATGCCCGTCTGTCTGTTGCTACCGGACGGAAACGTACAACCACGTCTTGTTCCCTGGGCCATGCAATTGGGCGCTGGGACTATTTGGAGAGGCACGGAGCATGGAGGAGGAGGCATGGGATGGGGATTGAGGGTGATGGAGGGTGGTCCTTCCTGCCTAGTGTATCCGTACGGAGTACATAATGCCATAACAGAAAGTTACCGCGGAATGCGGAACAGACCGCCGCCGCCACCAATTGACTTCTGCTTACCAGGACATATCCTTACAGCATAGCATGCGGTGCTTGTTGTCTTCAACACTGCTTCCAACGATAATGTGGCCTCATGCGAACAGGAGCAGATCTATCCCGAAACAAACTCACCTTTGCTTCTCTTCTTATACTTGTCCATGTTTTCAATTTCTATACCACTCCCAGTTACCGGTGTACGAATACGACGCCGATGTCAGACGCATCGGCTGGCAGGGGTGTCGTGTCGTCCGCGAGAGCTCGGGCACCTGTCGTCATGCCTTCCACTCGCCCTTGTTTCAAGTTGCCCTGGTCAGAAATGAAAGCCCCCGTTATGGCAACATCCGGGCTGCCGAGCCTGTTTTTGCGTCTTTTCCTCCGCCGAAGCTCCGGCATCTGGGGCTCCAAGCGCAGTGGGTTTTCGGCCCGCCATCTCGCCGACTGACAGACATCACCCGGTCCTCTCGCGGGGGTTCGGTCATCAACTACAATCTTTTACATGAATAACTATGTGGAAGATTGTGTCCTGTTTTCCTATCGCGACCTCGCGACCGCGGGCGATGATTTATTTAATATCTAGCTTATAAGTAAACCTGAAAGATGAGTCGAAGCCAGAACAACCGCCCAGTCTGGTAAATAAATAACGTACCATTTAAGAGCACAAGACAGCGCAATGCCGTTTTCTGGAGCAATCTGTGATTCTGTGACAGGCTTGGAACAGACTAACAAATTGAACGCACAAGGGGTCTTGTCAGTAACCACACCAGGCTGCCCGCTCAAGCCATAATGTTGCCAACCTATTGATTGTTAGTCGGTCATTGACACCACCGGCATCAAGGTTTCGACATTGGGGCCATTCTTACTAGGGCCGGCGGAAAGCAGCTGAGAAACTGACAGTCTGAAAAATACCAAACCATTCGCCATGGTGGGAGTCAGTGCAAGGTGCTGATCAGGCACCTCGGAACCGGTCCACAAAGTGCCAGGCTACGAAAACGGAAGTATGACAAACGTACGAGTATGCCTAGGACTGCCTAAATGGATAAAATAACCGCTTCACCATGCGTGGTGTAAACAGCTCGGCCTCTCGGCAAGATGATAAGTGCAGCAACTACATATATCGCCGCTCTAGTTCCGCAGATCCGGCTTGCCTCCTCGCTGAATGACAAAACAACTACACAGCTACCATAATCCATTCCTTCCCCAACCTTCCCAATTCCCCAAAAAGACATTGCGTCGCTCCATCTAGATTCTGCCATTTCTCTTGTAGAAATACTCTCCGTGCCATACATGGCCCGTCTTCCCCGTCGTCTCTCAATATGCAGCCCATGATACGGCATGCCCAGAGAAAGATGCCACTGATACGCCAACCAGCGGGCACCTTTATGTTCAGCCCAGGGGTATAAGACTGATTCTTGCAATGTTTCGAGGCTTCTCGGGGCCTAAGAATACTAGTTGGAAGACCGATTGTGGGCCACAAAGGCACAATCAAAAAGAGGAGGGGTTTTTAGTAGAGTGGGAAGGGACCAATGCAGGTTTCAATATCATGGTTCTTTTGCGCGCCTTGCACATCTCAAATGGGCTTAACTAAGTGTGCCACGCCAATGGACGTGGGTTCAGCATGGCATGTTTGCTGTTTGTTCTTTGCAGCAGTCCATTGCACGGATCCCTTGATACTCGACCAACCACTGCTGCCATCATCATCATACAGATGCAGAGGCTTTCGGGCCCGTACGATCTGCAAACCTTGAGCAACAAATTTGCTGACCGCACTCAGAAGGACTGTTTTACAGGCTTTTTCATAGTCATAGTCGGCCTCCTTCGGCTGTTGTTAACCACCAACCTGCCTCCAGTCTTGGGTTTCGTATTGTTTCGGCAAACCGCCACAGGGACCATCGGATGCATCCTCAGTGGAAACCCGGGAGAGGGTTCCAATATGTCGAGAGCCAACGGCTGGTGGGAAAATGTCGACCAAAGGTACGGGATACCCTCGGGAGCCCCTGGGCAGAATTCGGGGCAGAGTTGAAAGGAGCGGCGAACATCACGGCTTCCTTGACCACCGGAAGACGATTGGGCCCCTGTGTAGAACTCGGAATTGTGATGTTCTAATAACACCGACCAAAATCACCAACATCGGACCATTGGTTCCAATGCCGTTATGTTCTGCTTAGCCACTCGCGGGGCCCGTACCCGGCATAAACCCCTTAGTCACCCGTTCATCACCATCACTACCGAGACCCTTTCACTTGGAACCCATAGACGATCGCCCGTGACAACGGAAATCAATCCCCCTCATAGTTGCAACCATCATCTCCTTCTCATCTCCAGCCCCTGTGACCTCATCAATCGTACCTCAACCCCCCCTTCTCTTTGACCCCCGTTCTATGACCCCCCCCTCCTTCCCCTGAAGCCATATCCGCCCACAGCCTTAGCCACGAACGCTTGTTTCTCGCCTGCCCAGCCCTTTTGCTCCGCGCACGCCCATCCAATCTTCTAGAAATAGCCCAGTGACTGGCCCGCCCGTCTTCTTCTCGAACATTTCCCCGGCTTCGAATCCCGGATCCACGACGCACCGCCTGACCAGGAACCGCCCCCCTCCCCCCCGTCGCCTATTGGGGCCCCGAGATGGCCTTGGGAAAGGTGGAGAGAAAATGTTACCCCCCAAAAAAACAAGTAAAGGTCTAAAAACCGCGCGCGAGACGCCGTCCAAGTTGGGGCCGTCTAAGAGCGATCGGTGACGAACGACCACAACCCTCCCCACCCTTTGTCTTCTTCAAGGGGGTCGACCTCGATAAATGAGGCCCGCCCGGGAGATGAGATGAGAGCCTTTCTGACTTGCCGCCCTCGTCGCATCAGAGTTCAACGAAAAATTTACAATCAACAGAGTGCGAGTCTCCCGCGGTCCCGGCAGATTGCGCTCCCAGTTAAACGAAGTCGTCTCCATCTCCGAACCGACCCCACCCCCCTCCCGGGCTCCCGGTCAGCTCCAGGAGGGAGCCCAGCCCGCGCGGTAGTATGAAAAAGCAGGCTATTAGCCGCCGCAGCCCTGGGGAGCACAGACGCGGCCATCCTGCATAACTCGGGTTGTCGCCCCCTCTGGTTTTTCGCGACTCTGTAGAGAAGCTGCCCGAACCCGAGTTGTATCCACGACGGGAGGGAAGCGAGGAAAGGCTTCGTTGACTGCCCTGCCCCACATCGTCAACCAAACTCTAGGCTTTCCCGAGCTTTCGCAGCAAGAAATTCGGTTTGCGTACACTCTTCCAAGTCTTCGAGATGCTGGGTCCATCACGGCGGGCAGTGGTACGCTTGCTCGCTACCCATCTCGCTCGTGTTTTCCATTTCCCCGACCCAAGCTACCTCAACCTGGGACAGTGACCTCTGGCGGAGGGGAAGCCAGGCAAGCACCCCACATCAGATGGAGGGTGAAGTTAATGACCACCAATTCACTCCTCCTCTTCACCGTAGCGTAGCGTCACCGGTGGAAGGGTGACACCGAGTAATTTTGACATTCCAGGTCCGGGGGGAAGGGGGTCCGAATGTCCCAGTCCATATCGGAATCCGTATGTCAAGCCGTAATCTAAACTTGTGGATAAGTCGGGTATTGGCCCCAACTCAACTGAGCCCAAAATGGATGGCTGATGTATGGAGCGGGCCATCGATGCCAGTATCGTGCAAAGGACAGCACAAGTCCCGCGATTCACGTTCTGCAAAAGAGAGAACAAGAGCAGTAATGGAAGGGGTTTCTGTTGCATCCAATAGGCGGAATTTGTACTAGAAAACCATAGAGAAAAGTCCGGAAACACCATTCTCGGCGACGCTTTGTACGCGTACTATATGCCTCAAGAGATGTAACCGTGTAAAGTAAGGTTATACAGTGGGCAATCGCCCTGAATACGAGCTGCGGCCTAAAGCCTGCCGGAGCTCTTTTGCTTTTTCGTTGTTGTTTTTTTTGGTTTCCCCCCTGACCCAAACTTTTTTCTATCCCAAATGACACCCGAGTTGACGGGTCCCTTCAATCCATGTACATTGGATCACCTCTCACCTGGGACATAGCCATTCCCATGTCACCACCGTGCATGCTCTGCATCGTTGCCTGCATATTCGGCATTGACCTGCTCATGTTGATTCCCCCCCGATTCGCATTTGGATTACCATTCTGCATCATGAACCGCGCATCACTCGCACCCCTCTGCTGCACTTGCCTTGTCCGTGGTACCTCGAGGGTGGCTTGTCGTTGGATTGGCTGCTGGGGCATGGGTTTGACGGTGGGCGTGTCCATAACAGCAAAACTGTCATCGTCCTCCATCTCGGCGTCGGCGTCAGCGTCTCCGTCGGCGTCCCCATCAGCATCCCCGTCGGCATCTTGGTCGCTAGCATCGTCGATTGAAGGAGGGCCGCTAATCGACGCGGCTGGGTCACTATGGCCAGTGGTGCTCGTCGTTGATTGTTGCTGATCGGGGCTCGGAAACTGTTGCACTTGTTGCTGTTGAAGTTGTTGCTGATGCTGCTGTTGTTGCAACGACTGCGCCTGTTGTTGCTGTTGCTGCTGCTGTTGCTGCTGCTGTTGCTGCTGCTGCTGTAGGTTTTGTTGTTGTTGAGGGGTCGGAGTCGGGGTCGGGGTCGGTGTGTTGCTGTTTGTTTGATCCAAAGTCTTTTGAGCATTCATGCCATTGTTGGCGACACGATTCATGCTGATGACCGTCTTCCACCGTTCAATGGCCCTTACGACAACGTCGTTGAGATCCATTTGTCGGTCCTCGAGCCGCAAACCTACGCCGCGGCCACCGCTCTTGACCCCTGCTTCCAACACGTGGGTCAAGAGCTGTCGCTCCAGGGGAATTGTAGCCGGAGAAAACAGTTTGAATTCTCGTGGCTGTTGTAGACGATTCAGCTGGTCAATCTGAGATTTTAAGTTGGCGTTCTCCTGCTGCAGTCTGTGCTGTTCGTCCTTCATCTTGTCAATCTCGGTCTGCTTCCTACCCACACTCCTTGCCATCTCCAGTAGCCATAGTTCATTTCGCCGCTGAACAGGCAAAGAGGTCCAAACAGCAAAGGCCGATTGCAAGTGCTCATTGACCTGCTTCTCAAGAGTTTCCGCCGACTTTTCGGCCTTCTTCACGGCGTCACGGGTATCTCGGACGAGACTCTCGCGGGGGGGGTATGTTAGGTCCTCCATCACTGCCGTAGTAGCAGTGGCACAAGTGACCTTCCAGTTACTAAACTCTTCTCTAAAGAAGGCCCTGAGCGCGTCATATTCTCTTTGCCCAGGTGATTGGACGGACCAAGAGGTGGAGGTAGGATGCTGTGTGGAGGAGAAGAGAGTAGGCGGCGAGGCGAGGCACTGCAGTGTCAACGCAGGGAAGTCGAGGGCAAGAGGGTCAAATTCGAAAGGCATAGAGTTGTTGTCGATGTGTTGCCTGATTCGAGGTTAGCAATGCAGGGCCTTCCCTGTCATATGTCAGAGGGATGCTCACTTGGCTGCTCTCCAAGAGCTCAAGAGCTCTCTGAGGGCGAGCTCCGCCGCGCGGGCGGTATCCATCGCATCGGCAAGCTTGTGCTTCACATCGAACTGAGCCTTTTGCATTACCTGCTTGCTCACTTGCCTCGGCCTCTTGCCTGCATTCTGGCTGCCCTCCCCATCGGTGGAGGTAGCAACATCGCCGTTTTTAGAAGGAGCATTGTTGATGACACCGGTGGTCTCCCAAGAAGGGGTCCAAGGGTACTTGCTCAGTGTCGAGTCGACGGCATATTGGCCGTCCTTGGGCAAGGCTGGAGACTTGTGGGATTCGGCATCTTGCGTAGCGTCCCGCTTGGACTGGGCAGGCCTCGGCGTGCTGGCTGGGGTCGAGGCATTTCTGGTGCCCATCGACCCCCTAGGCTGTCTCCGCGTGATGCCGCCTCGCAGACGCCTGATAGCGTCGACGTCGTGGATTCCATCTGGGGGCTTGGGATTCTTTTCCTTGATGTAGAGGTCGAGGTGTCGGCCGAGAGAGGAGGAGGTGAAGGCCTGACCACAATAGGGACAGTTCTTGTCCTTGGGGGCGCTCAGCTTCTGCTGGCTCGAGTCGGCGTTGCTCGCAGTTTCTGCCATGGCGCCGAGAGTTTTGGGTTTACAACGGGAGGGCGGGGGACAACGAGTGGTTCGGAGGATATATCGACGACGTCGAGGACGCAATGGAGATCGGTTCGGAGGCTACAAGGTTTTCTTCGACGAGAAGACTTGCAGCTGCTCCAGGGGAGCTATGTAATCGAGGTTCATATGTATAGAGGGGTCGAATTGGGAATGGTCGACGGCAGAAGCAGCAAATTTTGAATAGGTTAGGGTACAGCAAGGAAATGAATAGGAAATGGGGAAGGACTGTGTTAGGTAGGTAGGTACGCAAGGAGACGAGGTATAAAAAGAGGGCAATGTAATAAAATGAGGGACTAGATGCTGAAGAGCCAAACGAGTGTGCGAAGAGAAGGAGGTCGGCGGAAGGTGTTGAGGAGCAGCAGCAGCCCTCGTACGAACAGAACGCGGCCCAACCCCTGTGCGTGTATATGGAGAGGATGGGGCTTTTGGGTTGGGGTCGTCGGTACGAATGGCGGTCGAGGTAGCGAGGTGTGTTGGCGAAATAGGAGAATAACGGTGGTGGTGGTGGTGGTGGTGGTAGGAGAAGGAGGAGAAGGTACAGTTGGATCCCTGGTATTAAGGAAGCACTTCTCTGTCGCCGTTCTCTCTCGCCCGCCGGTGTGCAGCTCTCTCAATTCAACCGTGGACACTCACAGTCTCTCGACCTCTTTGCATACACACAAAAACACAAAAAAGAGGGACGAAGGGGATGTAGATGAGGAATGACACGGCAGTGGTGAAGTAAAGTACAGAAGAGTAAGGGGAAGATGCAAAAAAATGTCACTCAGGATTTAATCATTGCATTTTTTTTTTATTCTTTTAGTAAGGCACGAGAAGACAGCAGGCAGGGGTAGCAAGCACCACGGTCCACAGTCCAAAAAAGACGACGAGCAGCAGGAGCTCTCTCTGTCTCTCTCTGTCTCTCTCTTGCTCTAGCTCCCACCCCCCCCCCCCTCCCCCTTTTGCCCTCATCCCATAGGTCCCATCCGCCGACTCCCATCCATGGCCCATCCCATCCCATGCTCCCCAGATTGCCAGTGGCTGCACAGACGGAGCCAAGGACAGCCCAGGCCAAGGCCAGCTCAGGGCCGTACAGCGGTCCCACCTCTACACGAATGGGCTTTTAATAGCGATTGCTGCTATGGTGGGGGTGCCTACCCGTAGTGTCCACCGCAATGCATTGCACCCGCCAGCTAACTGTAGTCGTAGCCAATAGTGCGCGTGCAAGAGAATAGGGGGAACCCCAAGTTGAGCTTCATATTAAGTACCTAGGTAGGTATGTAAGAACTGAGCAGCCAACAAAGCACAGGAAACATTTTGCTGAACCGGGGTTCCCAATCGCAAAAGTACCTGCGCACTCACTGCATGTCGGCCTGGGGTCAACTAACTACTATCAAGACGTATTCAAACCATCGGTGATGGTGGGCCATCGAACCATGTTCAGGAGCATCTCGTAGCCTGGACCTTGTGTTCATCAACAGCACACCCCTCATCGTTCCTTCATAGCAGTTCCTCATATACAGATACAGGTAGTACGTATACAGGTACCTAAGGCAGGCAGGCAGGCAGGCAGGCAGGCAGGTAGGTAGGTATAGATACTCAATAGTTGCCTCCCTTCGTTTCCCTTTTTGCCTTCCCTTACGAGGTTACCTGGCTCAGCCACAGTTTCCCCAACCCCAACCACAAGCAGCTCCTCTGTTGCGCAGTGCCCATCTCCCAAGACCCCAAAGCCTAACTCGACACCTCTCCAACCGCCTATCAAGACGTCCCTAAACCCGCCCAGCACGTAATGTGTTCAAGTTCGGTTCGGTTCACAGAACGTCAAGGCAATTCCGCCCACAGTCCTTCTCCCCCATTCCAACCTTCTCTCTCTCACATGTTGCTTAGTGCTGCCAATCTAGCCCGCGGAACGAGAGGAACAACCCGGTACCGCCCTGTGCATCACTTTCACCGGCCTAGCGCCGCCGGGGGTCCCTTGGGGGAGGGGTGCACAGGGAACTTTTTATTTAAGGAAGCTTCGCCCGAGCATTTTCGTCCTTGGTATGGTCTTCTCCCCCTCAGGATGCTTGGGTGGACACACCAACATGCCGAGCCCAAACGACAAACACCTTTTCAACCCTGTCGAGCTGCCTCATTGAGCCCAAATTACGTGTCGGATAGCCTGGATAAAGTCTATGACTCGAGCCCACCTCGGAAGGGGGTAATCCGGGACCTGGCGGAGCTCCATCTACCAGACTCATTCGAACAGAAAGGGCACGCACTCACGTATTATTGTTTAATGACCATTGGACGTGTCCCGACAAAAGATTGAGGGCAGTGAAACTTTAGCGCAGTACTGATTTTGACCTAATTAGAAGTATGAGCTGAGCGTTTTGCTACGATGCCCGAGTGCTCGTGGCTTTTTCCAGGATACCATGATTCCTTTCAAATTCACAATGCCACGTTGTCGAACTAACCAATGTTTGTATGTTTGAGTTATCGCGCATATTCTCTTAGCGCCAACCTCTAGGTAGCCCCGTAGCCAGCACCAAAAAAAAAAAAAAAACTAAAAAAAAAAACTGTGGCGTTGATTCCGCTGCCTTCTCTGGACTTACCTTCGATCGGCCTTCCGGTGATGCTGAGACTCAGCCCTGTATCTTCTCATAGTCTGCAAAAGGCAAAGCGTTACTGGTCCGATTGTGGCAAACAACACCGCGATTGCAGCAGGTGGAACATGGTATTCATTACTTCATGCTCTCCGTCGTCCCGTCTCGTAGCTTGTGGTTGTGTTATCGTACTATTGGCAAAGACAGCAAGTCGTTCCTACCGAGAGCTGCCAACCCACCCATGGATGGGCAAGTGAGACTAACATCTTGCTTTTAACTTGCCGGGTTGGCCCGACTGGCTGACAACCTGGGGCGCGGGCAGGCGTTCCCGGTTTGTTTCTTTGGGTTCCTGGACCCACACTGCTGACTTGTGTGTGTTCGATCTCGTTGTTCAGGCAGGGGTGGGGGAGGGCTTCCGGGAGATCACCCAGGGGGAGTAGGTGAAGGGCCTGGTGCCAGTGGTGCCAACAGAGTCGGTCGTACTTAGCTAGCTGGCAGGTTTCGTCTCATACCTATTAAATATTGCGCATCCGCAACATACACTTAAACCACGATTGACTGGCTGCGCGAAAGCTTGCGGACTGCCTATTGTTTGCCTGCTGTTTCGTTTCCCCCCCTTTCTCCCCGTGTTTGTCCCAGGGACAGTATCCAGCCCCGAAGAGACACCTTCTGCAGCGGCAACATCTTGGGTTAGCCCTGTCTGGACCGTACAGTACTGACCCCATTAGGGGCATCATCTGCAACCCAACGTCAGAACCTGCACGACACTGATACTTTCTCACTCCTTCTTCAACAGCCAGCTGGAGCCGTTACTCCAGTGTCCCGACGCGCTTGTCCACGTCCCAAAGCAGCAGGCGCATGCTGGCCTGTCCTGCAGCTCCAGGATATCACCTTAGAGCTACTGCCTGGACCATGGTTCTCGCCATTCATGATGCCGGACAGTCGCCCGCCACGTGTGCAGGTGAAACTCATGCTGCGAGCGCTCTTGCCTAAGCCTCATTGAGGATAGTCCGTAGTGTCGATTCAACTTGAGAGGGAGCAAACCACTGCCCCCTTTTGCGCTGCAGAGACTTTTGGTGAGATGCTCATTACGCTTCTGCAGCTTCATGCATGACGAGAGATGTTCCCGTTGGTTGAAGCGTCACAGTCGACTCAGGATCCGGAAACTGTCTTTCCAAGAAATTGAGGTTACTGTGGGTCATAAGTTCTGAATTTGACAGATGTCGCGGGTTGAATGATTAGGAGGCGTCTGGTTCCGCAGTTATTTGTGAAACATCATCGCCAGCTGCTAAAGATGCTCCATAACTTTATGTCGTGGATGATGGTCATTGTGAGGTTGTTATTGGATTTGAATAAGGCGGCGGCGGCTTCAATTTGGGGAAGCCCTGGAGAGGAGACCGTTTCTGTCGATATTCCCAGACGATGCCCGTCCGAATGAGAATGGATTGCCGTTGCGATCTGCCCCAGTTCATTTGAACATCCGCCAAACAACATCGAAGCTTCTTGTTCGTGATCTTTGACTTCTTATCATACGTAAGGCAGGTAAGTATCTATCCACAAAAGGAAAAAGGCATCGGCGCACATGCTGATTGGACGGTGGAGCTTGGTCCACCGGTTCGGGCTCCGCACAAGCTCTTGGGCACGCCCTTTGTACCTACCAGTACCCGGAAAAACAGCGGGGACGGAGCGCGCCGATCACGTGATACCGGACGCGCTACAAGCCGCCCATATTAGTGGTGAATTGGGGCTGTTTCCCGTAGTTGCGCTTGTACTGTCTGGAACCGCGTCGCTGCTTCCTGCCGTTTTTCGCTTTGCGCAACTTCAATCAACGGATAATATTATACGTTCATTGTATTTAGCTTCACGCAAGCACCTGCCTAAACAGACAAGAAGTATCACTTACGATGCCGCCCGGTAAGCTTCTCATCTTCTCACCTTCAACCCTACTCTGCTTTGTAACCAGAGCGCGCCTGGTTGCTGCAACACATTTGATATCACGACAATCGCGCCAATCCTCCCCCAACCGCCAAAATGCCGCGCCCAAAGACGTACAAACAAAAAGGACCCAAGAAGCTGATCACTTCTGCAGCCATCAGTGACGATGAACAATCCGATACGAGCGACGTAATCGCAATCCCCCTCAAAGAGAAGCGTGCTAAGTCCCGATCGGCCGAATACCGAGACGACGTCCTCGAGACTAAGAACGAAGAGGAGGATATCCCGGAGATTAAGGGCGACTTGAATGGCGGCACCGCCAAATCAATCGCGAAGAGTGACGAAGACGAGAACGATGAAGATGCGGACGAGGACGAGGATCTGGAGCCCGACGAGTGTGTTCTCCAAGGTCACTTCCTGGCCGAATCAGTCGGGCTGACATTGCTTCAGGTTCGTCGTAGAGAAGATCCTTGATCATCAGGTTGCCGAAGATGTAGGCGCTCCTCTTGCTTCCCTGCGCTATTCAGTTACCAACATGTTTTGTAGGGTACCGTCAACTTCCGCGTCAAGTGGGAAGGCTATGAGAAGAAGGCCGACCAGACCTGGGAGCCCGAAGACAGCTTGAAGTAGGTTGCGACATCCGCTAAAGGGAGGTAGGTGAGGCATTGTGTCGCATACTAACACATTGACAGGGAAGGCGCATCCGAGATCTTGGAGGAATACCTGAGAAAGCTCGGTGGGCGCGAAGCGCTGTTTGAGGAGAAGTCCAAGGCCAAGGCCACAAAGAAGCGCGGTCGTCCTTCGGGATCTTCGGCCACACCACCAGCAGCCACCAAGAAGTCCAAGCGAAACGGTCACCCTGCTGAGTCTACCCCTCCTGCGTCGGCAAAGGAGGCCAAGAGCAAAGCCTGGACTTTACCTAGCGGCAGCTGGGAAGAGGAGGTCGAGAGCATTGACGCCTGTGAGGACGAGGAATCTGGATCGTTGATCATCTATCTGAACTGGCGCAACGGCCAGAAGACTAAGCACTCCAAGGACGTCGTGTACAAGCGATGCCCCCAAAAGGTAAGGCACATGCTACGAATGTCCCCGCTTTAATTTTTCGAGAAAGATGCTTACAGAACATTTGAAGATGCTGCAATTCTACGAAAGACACATTCGCATCATCAAGGCGGGTCCCGAGCCCACGGAGGAGGCCCAGGTGTAGTACAAAAGCTTAGCGTTTAGGGGAAATGGGGTTGAGGCTGATGATGCATTTGTTATCGTCGCGGGCTTTTGGGGAATGTTACCCAGGCCATTTGATGTTTTTAGGGCTTTTAGGTCTCCGTACCTTGCGGGGGTTCTCTGAAGATGGTCTAGTAAGGCCTCAGTTGTACTCCGTACTTAGGCTCATGACTTTCCGACTAAGCTTACTATCTACCCGAGTTAACAAAAACACAACACAGGATTCGGATTTCCTATTGCTGGAAACAGGCTGTGGTTCCCCTCTCAGTCTTTCGGTCCAAGCGATCCTTTTCTGTATTCCCATCACCAACATAACAGTAGGAAACCGGGCTCCTCTGGCAGTGATTCAATGGGTGAATCAAGATCTGGCCCATGCCAGCCGTAAGCCATGTTACGAATTCATGAACAAGATCCATCCCGAATGGATGTCGTCGGGTGCTGAGTTCAGGCACGATGCAGATACCACTCGTAAGATCGTCTACAAAGTCTCCTTGCACTCAGATATGTATGGAAAGGTACATACGAATACACGGAAGAAGAAAAACGGTGGGGGGGCAACCAAGCTGAGAAGCTCACGAGGTTGGGTGACGGGTGAGGATGTCAAAAAGCCGGTAAGACCCACTAAAACAGCTCGAGACCCCTGTTATGCAGGCGGCTGGGTGTCGTGTGTGGTGTGGTAGCGTTGCCGCGCTTTTTCTCGACCAGCCTCTCGCATTTCTGTTGACTTGGGCCGTAAAGCTGGTGGCGGGGCAACGCTGCTTTTTAACGTGAAGCTGCCCGCATCGCATTCCTCGCCCTCTGGTCCTCCGCTCTCCCTTTTCTCTGGTATATTCCTCGTTGATAGCCTGCTTCCATCTATAACTCACGGACCTCAAGAAGAAAATAGTCCCATCGTCCGTCTCGGTCAACCTACTCAACCTCCGCCACATCCGCCTTAGACTCAATACACATCACATATTGGTACTTGCGATCTTGTAAATCGCGGGGAACCTTGGGCAACTCACGCACATCAGCCATTCAACTGGAGAATTCAAAAAAAAAAAAAAAAAAAAAAAAAAAAAAAAAAAAAGGCGCTTTATCCAACCGCCATTCCAACCGCCGACACCAAATCCTTTCATCAACCTTTCCTCTTGGACATACCGTTGAAAATCGTTACCGAAGCCCAACTTTTCTCCCGAGACCCGAACATTCTTCGGCGCACGGCGACTCCGCTCGAGCTCCGTACCTCTTCCACCCGTCTTCCCTCCCAGCCACCGGTACTCAGCAGACACACCACCCCACACCAGTTCCACACCGCCCGTCACACCTCCATTCCCCGTTCAGGCCCTCCACGCTGGTGTCAGATCGTGACGGGAAAGCCCTCGCACTGCAACCGCAACCATGGTCAAACAAAACGATGTCATCGCCATCATCGTCATCATTCTCTTCATCGTGCTCGCCCTCGTCGCCTTTGGCATCTATAGGTTGGTCCACACCGCGCGCCAGAGCATGAGCGTAACGTCCGGGTCGAGTAGCAGCAGCTCCGAGGAGATTGTCGATTGATCCTGGCGTCACTGGTCGCTTGCTGCAGATACCGCTGCTATCACCGCATTTACACTGAAATGCCACGCTGCATCCTGTCTTGGGCGCTACGCCCTTTCTGCATCTACAGCACACCGCTGCTATGCTGCAAATAGGGGCGCCGGCCATCTACGAAGCCGCTGAAAACGAAAAGAATATGATCAGCATGATTCAGGACGAAGAAAGATGTAATGAGGAGGGGAAAATGACAACTCTGGAATGGAATGAACATGAGACATGATTTATTGGGCATAACTGTTTGGGCATTTTCCACAGCATCTTATTTTGTTTTCATATGTTGGACGGAGTTACAAAGGATACTGAGAGCAACTGCACGACAAATATCTACGAGTGTACGATGTCAACAAAGTCGAGACCATTGTTGGTACTCGACATGGAACGGGCAGGCCGAGCATCGGCTCGGCGTATTTACAGACGAGAGGAGGGTTCACAGAGCCCGGCATACATAGAATCGAAGCCCTTGAGGCTGGGAGCACAATAAAAACCGCACCAAGCATGATGCATGGCATTCTTCTCACGCTTATTCCTTTTGATTGGATTTCAAGCAGCAAGATCAGAACCTCATGATCTGGGCCTCTGAGCGCCAATACTTGCGGGCCAAACAACAACTTTGTCAACAACGACAGCCTATTAAGGCTATCCATTTAGTATATGCTACCTACTTGAACCTTGGCCCTCTTGGTACATAAACATGCCTTTAGCCATGTTTCTTGGAGTGGCAGCCATACCTCAATGACCAATCTCATTGGTCAAGCCGCTGCAAGGGCTCGATGTCAGGCTATTGGCAGCATATCTGTACTCATCGTCAGCCACAGAAATGGCATCACTGAAAATAGTGTCTGCCTGCTAGTCTATGCTCATAGCTAGGAATGCAAAAGGAGGCCAGGGTGTCGGGTCGGCCTTGTCTTGTATTCTGGAGCGGTCAACGGAAGGAGCCGCACCCTTTGTTGCCTGTCAATAGAAGACAGAGCCCATGTCCAGAGTCTTTGCCGACTCATGAAGACTCGCCAAGCGTTCGGTTGGGCATATAAGTATAGACCATGCCCCGAATATGATTTCAGATCCCCGAATACCAAAATATCAATATTTCTTGCAACGGATACCCTTTAAATGCCAGGTCAACGCAAGACCAAATAGCCACCCACACGCATACGACTGTCAGCTGCATGTCACCAAGACGCTTCAAGACGACTGTGAGATGGATATCGTGGGCAATGAAACGAAGCATGCCGCATCTGACGCCAATAACGGGCTAGAAAGTGGGGAGACGGTCGCCTCGGAGGGAGTATTCCCGCATGACGCAGTAGCAGTAACGGTGAATAATATGCAAGTGTCAGTCGCGAATGTTACTTCTAGTATGTTGGAACGTGCGACCAACTACGACGATGATGTGATGGCGGAAGAAGGTGAGGAGACAGCCAGGGCGTCCAGAGACGACGTTCGGCCTCGGGAGAACGAGGATAGGGAGGACCAGAATATTTGATCCCAGACTATGAACGGGGAGCCGGCATGGGAGGCAGATTAGGAGTTGAAGGAGGTCTCGTGGTAATAATGACTTATCAGCTAGACGAGAAGTATCTTCCAAGCGAGTTTGCGGACTCTGGATGGCGCGTGGTGCTTGGTTTGCCTCAGAATCCAAGGGCACGTCTGCTGCTGATATGCCGCTATATCCAAAGAACCATTTTTAAACAGGCGTTGGGAGACGCTTGGAAGAGGTTCCGCTGATTCAGTGAGATGTTCCACCATAGTACTGTACAGGACAGTCGGTGCAGAATGATGTGCAAACGCAAACATCTGTAGGCACTGATGACAAGCGTGTTTGACTCTACATCATTCTCTACACCCCAAACCCTGTGTGACTAATGATTTTCGCATCCCGTGGACTAAATCACTTGTAGAGTTAGAGCTTTCGAATGATTCACTACCACAAGAAGTGAAGACTTCATCGGAGTACCCCCAGTCAGTCTTACATATAAGAAAGCACAATCCACTCAAACGAAGCATTCGGCACAGAACATCAAATCGACATCAAGCAAAGCGTTACAGCAGAGCCAGCGAGAAATTGATTCCTGACACGGATGCAAAAACACCAGATCATTCACTCAAGATGCCGTTCTTTACCCGGATGCTGCGTCAAAATGGACGTATTATTGGTTATGTCACGGACGACGTAGCCTTTCTCAACAACAATTACAAGCCCGAAATCCCAGAACGAGACACGAGAGCAGGGAACATAGGCCCCGTCGACGACATCTGCGAAAACGACTTCCCAGATACCGAGTCCCCGACCGCAGAACTTCTACGCTTCTCGCAATCTCCCTCGACGGTCGAGGTTCTTCAGACCGTGTTGGATGAGCTTGGAAAGAAGCTGCGGGAGCGTAAGGCCGCCATCAATGCACTCAGGGAGGCCAGAGAAACATTGGACGGTGTGGTGTGGACCATTGCGCCCTATGACTATGCCATGTTCATGGCCGGCCAGGATGTACCCCCCGAGGACGAAGAGTGGCACGGAATCTGTCCCAGGGCAAGAAGGCAGGCTCATGAATGGCTCTATCAGAGAGGACGGGTCACGAGCCGCATCGCCTACTTCGATCAAGAGGTTGAAGAGCTTCAGCGGAATATCACGGCCGTTTCCGCCGCGATGAGACAGGCAGATGAGATCCAAAATATCTGTCATCGAGCTTCTATGAGCCCAGCCGAGCTTCCTCTCTGGAAGATCCCACTGGTAGAAAAGGCTCACGAAATTCGGCAGAGACAGTTGGACCACGAGAATATTCTTGAGGGAAGGGGGAGGAGTATCAGGTTTGCATCGCTGGAGAGTGGATCAGGATGGGCATGACCCGCCGAGACAACGGTGAGCGATCAGTGATTATGAGGCCCGCGGCAGTCAGGGTCAAAGGGAGAGGAGAAGTGGGACCTGCAGGAATGACCAAAATGATTGGCAGACTTTGACAGGTTTGCAGTCTGAGGGAGATGGCAATGATGACAGAATTGAGCAGAGAGCCGGCCCAAAGACACTGAAACATATCCTGGCTATCCCTATAGTTCCTACATGATGGCCACTAGCCCGTAGTGAAAGAAAAGTCATGGAAAGACTTATCTTACGTCAGTGTAAAGTACATCCACCCTAGGGAGATTGCCTAAGGCCAACAGGCGGGCAGAGAGGTAGGTATGCGATTTGAAGATGAACAAAAGTGACAGCCTTTTAACCCTATCGATTTTGGTCGCCTTACATGTGTAAGTTGTCGGCTATGCCATGTTTCAACGGCATTGGCGTTGAGGACATTGGAACCTACTAAAGACCAAAAAATGACACACTGCCCCCATGTTTAAGAATTCATAGAACCCTCTTCCGGTTCATCATGAATGCTCTGGCGAGTTGGAGTGGGTTGAGTGAACATACCTACCTAAGGGTAGGCAACGTTGGATGAAGGACGCTCTGCTACTCTAGACTACCCCCACAGTGGATACGGGAGGTACGTACCTCATCACCTCTTTAACCCCACCGACGCGTTACGGCACGTCCACCGCGTCGGCCAATTTGTCACTCTCGCCAAATTTACAATCTCAACTACAGACCTTCAAGGCAGATATTGTCAGCGCATCACAGCGTTTTATCGACACAGACACCTGCGATACACATTAGAGGAAAATTCTATTCAGCACGTGAATATCTGGCTCCTTTGGCACACAGGCGTCCGCATCTCACAATGCCCATCCTTGAACGTCGCCGACCAGGCCAGCGGCGCCCCGAAAGAAGAGTAATCGACAATGACGACGAGGCTCCCGGAAGCGACCTTCCCGAATACGAACCGCTCGCTTGTCCTCTCACTGCGGAGGCTAAGCGTGCCATCGCCGAACTCTCCAACAGTCGTGATGTTCACCGTTACCAGAACCACGTAAAAGCCTCTATCCGGCATCTCAGCGCCTCCGTTGCTGGCATCAACGACAGCGTCCGCACCCGTCACGAGTATCTCCAGCGCCTTGTCGAGAAGCGCGCCGAGTCCAACGACCTGGATAGCCAGGAGAAGTCACAACGCGAGCTCCAACTTGAGACCCACACCGCGACTCTCGACGACGAGGTCCCTCGTCTCACGGCTGAGGCCGAGGCCGCCCTTCGTGACCTCATCGACAGGCAGGTCGAGCTCGATGACGAAAAGGCTGCCCTGGCGGAGACGGTGTCGTACTTTCAGGCTATCCCCGAGCAAGCGCCGCGCCAGCGCAGGCGGGCCCGCGCGGAAGCCCATGGTGACGACTCGAATATGGACGAGGAAGGGGACACGGTGGACGACCTGCCTCCGCCGCCGGATCACTCTGTCATCGACGTTCTCCGCCAGCGCCGTGCCGACAAGACCCATGCTTACCAACGCCAGCCTGCGTATCAGCGCTACGCCTTAAACAACGACTACGCCGCTTTCAAGAAGCTCTGGCATGACGCTGCGCACGGCGACACGGAGGTGCCCCTGCCTAACGCCAAGCGGTGGTTTGACAATGCCGGAAACCCCGTTATGCCTGCTACGCGCCGCCAACCGGGAAACATTAAGGGCGAACCTGGAGCCCAGGAGGCGGACGATAGTGACGAGGATATTGTTATTGCGGGCGAGGTCAGAGATTATAGGTGCCCGCTTTCCATGCAGTTATTCGAAAACCCGGTCAGCAACAATGTCTGCAGTCACACGTACGAGAAGCAATGGATCGTCGACATGTTGCGGAAGGCGCCGATGCAGCGTGCGCAGTGCCCCGTTGCGGGCTGCTCCATGGTACGTACTTGTTAGGAAACTCCGAGAGCGCTCCATCTGACGGGAACTATAGGAGCTGGGTCTCGACGATCTATACGACGATCAGGTGATCCTGCGCAAGATGAAGCGCGCGCTAGAAGAACAGCGTCGCCGCGAAGAGGAAGAGGCGGATGACAGTAGTTCCGATAATGAAAATGGGGACGAGCCTCGTCAGGTCAAGCGTAAGGCTCGCGGCAAGAGTCAAAAGCGCAAGGTTGAAGAGATTGACGACGAATGAGAGCCTACTACGGCTAAAACGGCGTTGAAGTGATGGATATGAAAGTAATGATACCCAAGAGTCAAAGTATGTACGAGCTTTTAGCCACGCAAGTGGTCTTGCAATTGAAAGGCTGCGCCTGTAATCATTATGCCCGTGGCCTCGCCATGCAACCCACGCGCCGATCCCCCCCTGATCATGCAATGCTTACGTTCCGACACTCTCCACGCGACGTAAATCTTACTCGGATGCATTGCACGCCATCGCCAGCGCAACGCCAGCCCCTAGTAATGAGCTCTCCTTCGCCAGTACGAGTTCGATGCTCCTGTCTTTCTGGTTCACCAGAGCGTCTACGTAGTCCTGGCACATGGCCAGGTATCCCGGATAGCACTCGATAACGCTGCCGTTATACGCGACCATGGTCCGGACCAGACTCGACTCCTGCGCTAGTCTGTCAGAGGCCTCTTCCTCTGGCTCTTCGCTTAGCGCCTCAAGGCGCATGGACCAGACTGCGTGTAGGCACGCGGCGATGATGGCGGCCGACCTTCTCGAGACGAAAGATGCCAGGCTACGCAGTGCTGAAATGTCGGACGAGGTTGGTGTGTGAGAGGAGGAATAGAGTGAGACGAATAGGTCTATGGAGGATGTAAGCATCGGCGACGCATCTCTATTACATGGTTAGCGCCTTCACGTGGATGACGGTCAAAAAAAAAAAGGGGGGGGGGGGGGGGGGGGGGGCATTACCCTTCAACGGCAGATATCGTTTCCGATTTCAGAGAGTACGGCTCCTCGAGCGACCTGGGAACAACGCCCCCGAATAGCCCCGTCGTCTCGATTGCCTCGATCAAAGCAAACCTCACGACCTCTCCGAGATAGTAACCGCTCACCATCATCTCCAGAGGCTGCAAGTCCGGCCTCGGGTGCCCCTGCTTGAGCAACCTGTCCCAGCGCGTCACGCTCAGCACGTCCTGCCCGAACATGCCGAGCTCCGTGTTGACGATGACGTCGCGCGCCTCATCCCACCACTCCCGCGGGCGGTCGCCGATCTTGGGCTTCCCGATGAGAGACACAGGGAGGTACGCGGCAATGTTGACGCCGGTGCCGAGGATGAGGCCGAATCGCGTGGCCGGGTGAACGTAGGCCTGCGAGAGCAGCGTGGCGCCGCCGTCGTTGAGGATGACACGCAGCTGCGCGTTCATGCCCCTCGCCGAGCAGGCAGACTCGATGACCTCGCCGAGGTCTTTGCCCATGAGGCCTTCGGCGGCGAGAAAGCCCTTTCCCATACCGTGGATACGGCCGCCTTTCAATGATGTTTGTCTTGAAAGTGCAAGTTAGCTCACCGCGGGAGTGTAAGCGGGGCGACCAGTGACTTACTCGATGGGAAAGCTCCAAGCCAGCGCCATGGGCATGGGCTGTGAAGGGTCTTGTCCATCTTGTGAGACCATCTCCCATATCCTCTCGGCCATCCAGTCGAAGAAAGCCATGCCCTCCAGATTTCTGATGTCGCTATCAATCTTGAGCGAACTCATCCGCACAATCTCTCCCTCCCTTCCTTTGGCGTTCCGGCCCCGCAGTTCCACCAATGCGACACGGAGTGTCGATCCTCCAACGTCCACCGCCAGATACTGACCGACTTCGTACCCGCCGGGAAGCTGATGGTTATACGAGGGCAGCATGCAGGCCATACTCGTCTGCAGCTTGTCCTTGAATTGAGCCTTCAGGGCGTTAGAAAGTTCGAGGAGGCCATTGTCAAGTAGAGGGCCCAGGAGCAGGTCTTCGGCCTCCTTTAAGAACTCCTCGACGTCCCGTGATGATGATGATGATGATGTCGTTGTCGTCGCGGACTTGGGGCACTCGACGGCCGGCCTCGCCTGTTTCCCGGAACCGGAATAAGGAGTGATCCAGAAGGCCAGGAGGGCCTGTATTAGAGACTTGCCCCGGAGCAGCTGCTTGACGATAGCGGCCAAGAAAGCTTTTGGAAACGTGGTCATGGCAGGAGGGTACTGCTGCATGGTACAAGGAAAGGTTTCGAGCGAGTTAGCTACGAACGATGCTGGACCATCTAGGTGACGAGATATTGAACGGTAGATAAGCGGAACAAGTCACAAGCCATATCATCCGGAGACAAGCCAGGCGAGATAGATATGTGAGATGCGCGAGAAGGAAGAGGAGGAAAAGGGTCGCAAAGATGCCGTGCACAATGTTTAAACGGCAGCCTCCACGGCGGACTGGTAACAAATCGGAAAGGCAGGCCCAGGCATGGGTGGATGGGACTTCGATGGTGTGCACGTAGCAGGAATGGAACCTGCCGGTTGGTTGTTCGACTACCCGGGGTTGGTGTATGCTGGGGACGTCGTATCCAACGGGGTCGGCAGCGGGACGGGTAACAAACGGAAGGCAGAAACAGGCGATGGCGACAACGGCCAACGGCCAATGGGCTACAGAGTAGAGCAACTCTGGCACCTAAGATGAGGAGGAGAAGGAGGAGAAGAAGAAGAAGAAGGAGGAGGAGGAGGAGGAGGAGGAAGAGGTGCAGTGCCAGCTGGAAGCGATACCATGTGCCGCCTAGACAAGGTGAGAGCGGGAATGGCCGAAGGAGCTTCGCTCTTCAACGTCGCACAGGCGATGGGGTGACACGCCGTATTCCTCCTGTTACCAGGTTCAGCTAGCCTTGTTCAGTCAAGGCCCGATGCTCCAATCCACGTTACTTGGGGGTCGAATGTTCGTGTTGATATGGATGGACCAAACGGAGAAAGGGGGGTTCGATGATGGGCGGTGACGGTATGGAGATGGTTACTGAGGATGAGCCATATTGCGAGCCCCAGTAGATCGCGACGGGTAGCCGAGCACGTGTAACAAGCAACCAATGCAGTAGTGGATGGGCGAGAGGCTCCTCGCCTCGACGCAACTAATGGAATATGTATGTAGGTAGTGTGCCGAAACAACGGAACGCACTTGTTCGACGCCTTCAAGCAGCCAACCAAGCCACCATTCCCGCCCTCGGTACGGTACTCTTAATTGGGGGACTTTAACCCGCCCATTGGGTTTGGCCGCGAGTCGGGTTCTCTGGGCCACCCAGCACACGATAGGCAATGAGTAATTGTTGCAGTTCAACTTTTTCGAGGTGAGATGCGATAATTGATGAGGTAAGGAAATCGCCCCTCCAGTTGTAACGTTGCCTTTGGTAGATCAAAACATCCCCTAATGCTAAGAAGAGGAACCCCCCTAAGAGTGGGTGGGTGGGTGGCTGCCTGCCGTTGACCACATCACAGAGGCCACGCAGGAACACCCCGGTCCAGGTGCTGGAAGGGCTCAGTTCCCCCGCTCTTTGGGAGGACATGCAACAACCAACAGCGGAGTCACTTCAAGGAAGCAATCCTGCCGCAACGACACAACGTGAGACGTGCCCGGGTGCTAGGACCAGGGGTTTCCCCCCAAAGATGAAGCCTTCCATCTCGTTGATTCTTTCTATCTAGCCCAACCCGTCGGATGCCGCAATCAATCAATTAATCAATCGCGTTCCAGGACCTCTTAGCAGCGAGCGTCTTCCATCGCCGACGTCCGACTGACATGGCTAGGCCACCACCCTTGTGCAACCAGCACGAGCCGCTCGGCATGTACACTACTTCATGCCCGTTACGTTAGATATCTCCCATGTATCAGCTGTATGCGAAGCACAGAACTCCGCACGCCATGCGGTGGTAACAACAGCCGCCGGATCGCAAAACCAGGGTCCCGGCTTCACGTCACGGACGGGCTGGCACTTTGTGGCTCCCTCCCACTGCCGCCGCGCATGGCAAACGACTGCACTCGCCACCCATGCCATAGCGCCTCGAACTTTGCTGATATCGGTGCCTCTCCACACAGTACAGTAACCGTAACCTCTTCTTTGGAGGGCATCTTCCGCACGCGCGCAGGCATGGCTTATCGTCCCGGCCGCGTGGCTATTTCAACACCACCGCTGCCTTGGACTGACATGCCGACCCTTGCTCGGTGACTTTGGGCTATGGCGGGTCTAAATCGTGGATGACGATGACCATCGACCCGAACGGGGCCGCTTGTTGCTCTTTACCCAACTTTATCGTCCGCAGAGGAGTTGATAACCCCCTTATCAACCGACCACTCCGCAGGCCACACAAGTCGGAGCTTCGCCATCCAATCCTGGGAACCAGGTGACTCGGCCGACACCTGTGACTGGCAACGTTGATAATAACTAATGTCCCCTCCCCAGTAGCTTGTGGGACGCCCGCTCTCGTGGTGGGACTTCTTTTTCGCGCTTCTCTGACACCACCGATAACGGTGACGTTCCATCCCCCTCCACCTCCGTGGGGTGGTTTGATGAAATCTTCAGCAGACTTTGGGGCTGATTCCCGCACGTCTGTGATGTCAGGGCGTCCGCGACGAAGGGTGCGACGAAGGGAAACACCCCTCGAGGGAAGGGGGTGAACCCTAGAACCTTGTGGCCAGAACCTTGTGGCCGCCGTCCTTCGATGTTGTCGTCCCTCATAAGCAGGGCCCATTCGGCTTTGGCCCCTTCTCGTATCTTGCTCCTTCACGAAGTAGAATCCAAACTACCAACCCCAAAATCACCAACGTTCCTTGCAGCTCACACCTACTGACCCTTCTTGTATCTTTACAACCCTTACTAGTCCATATTCAGAGAAACATCCCACGATGAGGCTGATTATCCGCGATGATGCTGACGCCGCCAGCGCGTACGTAGCAAGCTACATCGTTGATCGCATCAAGCACTTCAACCCCACCCCAGCTCATCCGTTCGTGCTCGGTCTGCCGACCGGAAGCAGTCCCCTGGGTGTGTACAAGATCCTCGTTCAGAAATACAAGGCCGGAGAGGTAGGGTCCTGTGCCTGCAAGCCGGATACTTGCGGCCTGTAGCTTACAACTATAGATCTCATTTGAAAATGTCATCACCTTCAACATGGTACGTGAGCTCTCATAAAAACCAGTCTCGTATCGTATCCCATCGTGACCTTTACTGATGATGAACAGGACGAGTACGTCGGCATCCCTCGGGACCACCCAGAAAGCTACCACTCCTTCATGTGGAAGCACCTCTTCTCCCATGTAAACATCCACCCCAACAACGTCAACATCCTCAACGGCAACGCCCAAAACTTGGAGGCCGAGTGCGTCGCCTACGAGGCCAAGATCAAAGCCGTCGGCGGCATCGACCTCTTCCTCGCCGGCATAGGCGAGGACGGCCACATCGCCTTCAACGAGCCCGGTTCCAGTCTCGCCTCGCGGACGCGTGTAAAGACCCTCGCTTACGACACCATCCTCGCCAACTCGCGCTTCTTCGACAACGACGTCGAAAAGGTCCCCAAGCTCGCCCTGACAGTCGGCGTGCAGACCGTCCTCGAGGCGAGAGAGGTGGTTGCCATCATTTTGGGCGCTAAGAAGGCGCTCGCCCTGCAGAGGTGCATCGAACAAGGCGTGAACCACATGTGGACGCTCTCCAGCCTGCAACTGCACCCTCACCCGATGATTGTTGTAGACGAGGACGCGACCCTGGAGTTGCAGGTCAAGACAGTCAAGGTGAGACTTCTCTCCCCCTGCGGGTTCGACCCAGCAAAATTTACTAATCGATAAACGCAGTACTTCAAAAGCATCGAAAAGGTCGCCAGGGAACAAGGCTTCGAACAGATCCTCCCCTCCAGGATCCGTACCGGTCCCGGTCCCGTGCCGGTTACAGTCGTCGAAGAGGTCGAGACCCCTACTATCCTACACCCGCAGCCCACCACCTCGCGTTTGCTGCGCGCCTCGCCGGCGACGGAATACCCCATCCGCTCTACGTCACCCGACATTGAGCTCGTCTTTGAGAGCATGGCGTCCCGCACCAAGTCGCCGACCGAGCAGCAGCTTCGCGCCGTCACGCCCGACCTCGTCACCGACAGGATGGCCACGCGGATCCCCGAGCCCGCACTGGCGGGCCGTCTGACGCCAACACCCGAGCAGCAACAGCAGCTGTCCAGGTCGGTGACCCCCGACCTGATCCCCGACCGCATGGCTTCGAGGATACCGGAGCCGGCGCTTGCGCGGCGGTTGACGCCAAACCCGGAGCAGCAGATGATGCCAAGACTGAACATCGTCGGGGCTTGATCGAGAGCACATATATGGAATTTGGGTGTTCTTTCCTTATTTTCCCTCCTTTTTTGGTTTTGGGGGTTCCTCCCCCCCCCCCCCCCCCCCGGGTGAGTATATAGCGTCACTGAATTCTCTCGTTGCTTGCTGGAAACAAAGTGGTGTCATTTGAGAAATCCGTATTGCGGTGGGGTAGCTGGGAAAAGGTCGCGACCAGACTGTAGCATTGTAGAATGTGGCCGAAATAAAAAGGGGCGCGAGAGATTCGTGCTCGGCGAGAACTTTGTGGTATGGATTGAAGAGCTTACGCGTCCACTCAGGACGGGGCTCTCTATGACTGTTACAAAAAAGATACGAGTGAAAGTTAAAAATAAAACCTCTGAGACCATGTGCTCGTGAAAGAGATATAGAATCCGTATCGGGATTGTATGCGTTGTGATATCAAATGGCTGACCGTACGCAACTAAGCTTACGTCATGTTCAACGTGCCATGCGTATCTGGCACTCAACAGGCGCAGGAGCAAGATAAGTGTCCAGCTCCAAGGGGGGCGGGAGCCGAGCGGGCTTTGATCTGATATTCTTCAATTCGCTTTTGAGTAACAACATCGCCTAGATTCGGGTATAACCACTTCCCGTATGCCCTCCACTCCTCCCTGCTGCTCCGGCTGTCTGTCCGACGCCAAGCAGGTTGAACCATTATCGTATAATACAACACGCCAAGAAAGCAAACAGATATATGGCTTCGTAAATTCATTCAGATAATCCCACCGAGCCCCGATTGTGACACAGGTACATAAGATGAGCGTGTCGCGGCTAAGTCTAGATGTAATTTAAATGTCAAGCTGAGATGACGTTCAAGATTCGGCGGTGAAGTAGCGCTTCGCCTTGCTCCGCAGCTGCTGTGCCTTGATCTCCGGCGGCACGATAGTGTGATGGACGACATGAGGGCGGTAAATTGCTTCCACTGGCGGCATCCTGTCATGATCTCATTAAAATTAGAACGCAGAAAAGGGGCTAAGGGACCTCACCAGTCATCCACACTGAGAGGAAAGTATTCGTAAAGCAAGTCATCCTCCTCCCTGGGGCTCTGGCTTGGGTTCTGACCCGTGGGCGCCGTTGACTTGTTGAATTGCGGGCTCTGCACGTCCGAGTTGGACCTATTAGGACTCCTCTCGTCTTCCGAGAGAGACAGGTTTATAGGGCCCGATATTCCGGCCCGCGCCGCCGAGCCCGATGTCGATGTTTTGGCCAGCAGCCTAGATGGTTCTGACGACCAGGCTGGTATTGGAGGACGGCTGATCCCCGGTGACATGGCCATTTTCTTCGCCGGAGGCGGACCTCCGCTCGGTTCCCGGTACATTGGCGGCGGTGCCCAGTCCGCTTGTTGCTGAACGTTACCCAGGGCCTGATATTTCGGCATAGGCGTCGGGGCGCCGTTGTTGCCGCTGTCCTTGACGGGAGTTGCGCAAGCTTCGCTGTTGCTTCTCCCCCCTAGCTTCTTCTCTCCACCGGTCAAGGGTATGTCTTTCCGGCTATCGAAGTTTCGTGGGCTGCGGCCTCTAACGATAACGGGCCCAGAGTGGACCTCGGCAATCTTGGCGTAATCGCCGTTTTGTTGCTTTCCAAGGAGACTGATTTGCACCAGGTAGTGCTGCTGTAGGCCTTTCCTCCTTCCGTTGTTCGCTGTAGCGTGCTTGAACTGCAGCCTCTTCCATGACAGTGTGAGAGACACTCTGTTCGCATCGACTTCTTGCCCATTTGCCAGGTCCAAAACAATGTTGGGCGGTCCGCCAGTAGACTTAGGTTCCTCTGCGCCAATCGGATGCGCGCTCTTCCAAGGGATCGAGATAATCTCCGTCGCCTTGCCCTCGATGGACTCGATCGCCGTTATCGAAGCCGCCAGCTCGAATATGGGTATTTGCTGGCCTTGTTCGTCCACAATATGCGTGATGTGCCGAGGAAGGGTTACCTGTCCAGAACACTGCCACAGGTTTCGCCGGTAGCAGGTCAGCTCGAGAGGTCTACCACTGTTCTCGGCACCAAAGACGTCCTCGGCCACGAAGAACATGCCGTACAGTTCGGCCGACATGTTTGGCTCCACATGCTGGCCCGTCCCGTCCACAACCGTGGCTTTTACTAACGGCGCCGAAAATCCCAGGAGCTTGTTGTCCAGCTCCTGCGAGGGTGAATCCTGGCTGAGATCCTCAAGCGCGGGCTGGACCTCGTACTGCCGATTCGAGTATGCGAATGGATCTTCAAAGCCCGTTGTGGAGAAGTCTTGGAAGTCATAGGTCGGCGTGAACGGTATGGTAGGGAAGGCTGTATTTACAGTTTCCCTAAGACAGCGAGAAGGATTAAGGTTAGCAAAAGTGACTTTCATCCCATGGTTGCGACAAGCTGACTGGCAAAGAGAGGGGGAGGGAGAGAGAGAGAGCAGTTCCCAAGTGACGTTCCTGCAGCCCCATCAGTTGCCGTGCGATACTTACAGCAGAGAGTCATCGAACATGGAAGCGTCTATGCCGTCCGCCACAGCGCTGCTAAGAGCCATGCCATCGCCGGGCGTCACGCTGGACGACATTGAGTGGAACGCAGCCATGGCATGGTAGGGCTCCTGTCGCGAGCGCCGGCCGACGATGCGCAAGCTGCGCCCTTGTACTCTGTCGCAAGCTGAGGAGCGGCTGTCGGCGGCCTAAAAAACGGATCTGAACGGCTTCTGCGTGTATCTGCTGGGGGGATGGCCGCAACCCCTCAATGTTCGGTTGAAAGTAAAAAGGAAGTCGATTCGAGGAAGCGCAGCTGGCCGTAATGCATGCCTTGTCTGAGCGAGGATCGATGGAAATGCAAAAGCGGAGGGATCTCTTTGGAGAGGAGCGAGAGTGGAGAGCCAGTGTGGACGGCCGGTACACTGCATCCACCCCTATCAGGAAGCTGAATGACCCTTAGCTTACCATTGGACGATTGGGGTTATCGACAGCTATAAGTCACCGCACTGTGGAAACAGTTTGGGAGGCTGGTTGGGCGCGAGGTATCTCGGCGGGCTGGGGATAAGGAGTACTGTCGCTGGATGGCGCCGATATGCGGGGTTTCAGGGATGAGCCCACAGGGCTAATTGTGGATCAAGGACCCCAGAAACACAGTCTCCCTCGGTCATGTCACTGTACAGCTGCAACTCTCTTACTTGGAAATCCTTTCATGTGCCGAATGTCTGCGTGTTTAATCTAAGTCGACGTCGTACAACCATGTTCTTGCATGGATCAAGAACTTGGGCAATAACAAGCAAGGATCTAGACCGCGACCTCTTTGTCGTTTCCACCCTCTAATCCTATAACCCACAGCTCGCACTTGAAACGTCATTCACTCATCTATTCATGATATATGTAGTTCGGATGGCAGCTCTATGCGTGTATAGTCTATGGTAGGGCCTGACCTTGCTCTTGGCTCTTTTCCCTAAGCTGCCTACGATAGCTCGGGTCTCTTGACCCGTGCGGTTGGTCCTTTTATGGAGTGATCGGCGATTGGTTCTCCTTCCGGCTCGACACCAGCGCTCCAGCTTTCCAAACCTCATCCACAACCAACTGAGTAGCGCCGTCTCTCACTTCTTCAGATAAGACGACCAAATCGGCATCAGCCCCGTCTTCCAGGGAGCCCTTGACGCCTTGGAGGCCGAGCATCGCTGCAGGCGTCGCAGTCACGGCTTTCAAGGCCTTGGGGATGCCTGTGCCCGACCAGCGAAGAAAGTTGTTCACACATTCCATCAGGGTGAGAGCGCTATCGCCCGTTAGTCCAGGCTCGTCGTCTTGGAGTCGGCGTCAACTCACCTTCCAGCGATGGTGTTGGTTCCCTCCAGCAACAGCGTAGAGCCGACCTTGATGATGTTGTTCACATTTTGCCCATTAGTCCACTGGTATGAGCCGTCTGCGAGGCCCATCATGTGCATCGCGTCCGTCACCAAGATGAAGCCATCAGGGTGCGCGTTGAAGGCGATCTTGATTGTTGTCGGGTGGAGATGGATGCCGTCGGAAATGATACCAAAGTACGGCCTATTCAGGCTCTCGGCAGTACCCAAAACACCAAAGACGCCGGGGTTGCGGTGGTGAAGAGGCCGCATGGCGTTGAAGAGGTGAGTAATCATTGTGGCCCCCGCAGCCACTGCGGCTGACGCTTCCTCATATGTTGCCTCGGAATGGCCGATGGAGTAGATGATGCCTCTTTTCCGTAGCTCGGGAATGATGTCGGTCATGTTGCCCCTTTCTGGTGCCGCCGTAATCATCTTGATGGGGAGTGTGGATCCATTGGCTGTAGTTTCAATGTTCTCGGCGCCGTAGCAGTCTTTCAGGTCATCGAATGTTTCTGCTTCTTGCAAGACGTCGACGTTGTGGACGCCGTTTTTGGAAGGACTGAGGAATGGCCCCTCGACGTGTGCCCCCAAGGATTCGGCACCGTCGCGGGCGGCTTGTGAGCCCCCCGATGGCCCAAGATACGGAAGTGCCTGTGAACTGTTAGTGTTCCTCCAGATAACGATAGTGCCTGGCAGGCTAACCTTCTGGTAAAGCTCGGGTCTTTGGCTGGTCAGCGTGGGGACGTAGGACGTGACACCCGTGGCCACGAGCTTTTTATTGAGCTCGCGGACCTTTTTACCATATTGCGCCATGTCCTCGAGCAGGGTGGAAAAATTGAAGCCAAAAGCACCATTGAGTTGGCAGTCGATCAAGCCAGGGGACACGATGCGACCGCCCAGATTGATGGTTTCATCTGGGACGCTGAGGTCGTCGAAAAACGCTGCTTGGCTGTGGATGATCTTGCCTGTGACAGAGCTGACCCAGATGTCTTCCTGCACCAAGGCGTCGCCTTTGACAAGGCGGCAGTTTGTGAACTTTGTGATGCCATTTTTTGGCGTCTTGGGAGTGGCAATGGGCATCTTGTTATACCGGGTGATGAGTGCTGGCTGGCGGCTTCTGGGCGGATACGGGGTCGATGGTTGGGTTGGTCTTCAATAACGACGCCATGCACAAAGACGAAGCAGAATGACAGGAGGGACTGAGTTGGGTATTATTCACCACGCGTTGCGGCTGCGACAACCGTGACCGGGGCGTCAAAAGCTAATGGTGCCGGCATGGCCCGGCTTGCATGGAAGTCTCATGGCCTCCCATACCACCGGCACATCGTCATTGCCCCTCACAGTCGCTGCGGGACGTTCACCACACATGGTGGTATGAGATACCTAGGACGAAGACTGGTGGGTGTGTGTCCGGTAATGGCATCAAACGTGTCTTTGGGAGAGTGGGGGGGAGAAGCCAGGGCCGATGGCACCGGTGCCGGTTGCACTGCCATGTTGCCTCATTACATGCTGTGTTCCCCTTCGAGTCAAAGAACTACTTGACCCTCGGCCGGTCCACAAGGGAGAAGGCGTTGGTTTCTGGATCTTTGTTTCACTCCCACGTACCCAAGCACCCGGCGCAACCATCAGCCGTTGCTTCCAGATTCCAGATTCGGCGACTGGAGACTGAGAGAAAGAGAGCCCCACATTGCATCAAGGCCCTGGACCATCGACGCTTGAAGCTCCCTAAGGACGAGCGTCCAATGTGGGCGTGAGAAAGAGGGACGCCCGTTTGCCATTCGGCGGTGCAGAAAGGACAGAAAGAAGGTTTGACGTGGTGAGGCTCCATGTAACGTTCCGTTGTCGAGACCGATGATCAGATACGCTAACATCAGAAATGGAGCCGCACTCCCCAGTACGTACCCATTTGGCATTCGCCGAGCACACGTCCCAGTCCAGCACAGACACCTGCCCCACACACCACGGGTGCCACCTACCCAAGGTAGGTACAGTACGGAGTACGTGAGCACCTACCTAGGTCTAGAGATAACGGCGCGGACGCCCAAGAGGTCCTCAGCCAATCGAACGCCCCCGGCTCCCGCTGTCAGCACAGCCAATGATGGCCGATCGTGGCTGGTGCAGCAGCCCACCGCACTCGCCGCACATGGCGACCTCCACGTCCTCCTCACAGACGTTCCTTCATGTCCCGTCCGACGGCCCTGGGTCAAATCCGTCCATCAACCGGAATTCAACGTCCACATCCACGTCCACATCCGAGAAGGGTCATCGTTACCTCCCCCCTCCGAAGACACGCCACCTCGAGAGGTACTATGCGCGTCAAAACCTGACGACCCGTAGACCACTAGCCATGGCCCAGCTCAACATGGAGCTCGACCCACTATGGCAGGATCTCGATTGGTACGTTGGTTCTCACGCTCGACCCGCTCTCCTCCATTATCCCGACCTGCATCGCCCGTCTCCCCTTGTACTGCGGTAGCAGCTCTCATTATGGCATCGCATCCGGGGGGGATGGTGCAAGTCATTCGACCACACTCCGATTCGCCAGCTGACATGCCATGCTGTTGCGCCGTACAGGGCCATTGGCCAGATGCTCATCATGGGCTGGGACGGCACCGAAGTGACGCCCCAGATCCGCTCCCTCATCGAGGACCATCATCTCGGAACTATCATCTTGACTGCCAAGAACCTTAAATGTTAGTAAGCCTCGTTGTCTCTGGCCAGGTTGCTGGGACGGCAGGTTGTAGATCCGTGCTGATCCCACGTAGCTGCTCAAGAAACGGCCAAGTTGGTCAAAGAGCTTCAGACTATCGCCCACAAGGCCGGGCATCCCAGGCCGCTGCTTATCGCTCTGGATCAAGAGAACGGGGGTGTCAACAGTCTATTCGACGAAGACTATGTATGCCAGTTCCCTAGTGCCATGGGTGTGGCCGCCACGGGGCGCGTCGAGCTGGCCTACGAAGTATCAAAGGCTACTGCGACCGAGGTTGGGGCGTGCGGCATCAACTTTATGCTCGGCCCCGTCCTCGACGTCCTATCCAACGCCAGGTACCAGCCCGTCGGAGTTCGCGCGACCGGAGACGACCCGCAGGAAGTCTCTCAGTACGGCATCGCCGCCATCAATGGTATTCGCGATGCCGGTCTGGCCAGCTGCGGGAAGCACTTCCCGTCGTATGGGAATCTTGACTTCCTAGGGTCCAGTCTAGACGTCCCAATCATTACCCAGACGCTGGAAGAGCTGAGCCTGAGTGCGTTGGTGCCCTTCCGCAATGCCATTGCCACGGGCAAGCTTGACGCCATGTTCGTGGGAGGATGTGGTATTTCCAACCCTTCCATGAATGTTTCTCATGCCTGTCTGTCCAGCCAAGTCGTGGACGACCTCCTCCGTGAAGAGCTAGGGTTTGATGGCGTTGCTATCTCAGAATGTCTTGAAATGGAGTCGCTTACCCATGACCTTGGGGTCCAGAACGGCGTAGTCATGGCCGTGGAGGCTGGATGCGACCTGGTCCTGTTATGCCGGGCTTACGAAGTACAGCTGGACGCCATCAAAGGCCTCAAGCTAGGGGTTGAAAATGGTATCTTCACCAAAGAACGGATCTATACCTCATTGAAGCGCGTACTGCGGTTGAAGGACACCTGCACGTCTTGGCAGACAGCCCTCCACCCACCCGGGATCTCTCTCCTCTCCAAACTACACCCATCGCACATGACACTGTCCAGAAAGGCATATGACGATTCGATCACGGTAATCAGGGACAAGGAGAAGCTCTTGCCATTGTCGGAATCGATGCATCAGGACGAAGAACTATTGCTTCTTACACCGCTAGTAAAACCGTTGCCAGCCTCAAGCTTGACAAAGAGTATCCTTCAGGCCAAGGATGGACAAGGACTAACTCCGACGACTCACAATAAATGGCTTCACCGAGAGAAGGGGGCCATAATGAGTGGAGAGGGAGTGTTCAGGGAGTTTGGACGCTCCCTAGCACGATCTCGTCACGGGAAGCTCCTTCATACGAGTTACACAGCCAACGGAGTCAGGCCAGGTATGCTGTCTTCTCTTCCAAACAAGGACCGCTCAGCTGATTGAGATACTTTAGTCCACGAGAACCTCATCCACAGAGCGTCCTGTATCATCATCGTCACTGCGGATGCCAACAGGAACCTGTACCAAGCTGGCTTCACCAAACACGTAGAGATGATGTGTTCAATGCTGCGAACGCGCGGCCAAAAGAAGTCGGTGATTGTTGTAGCCGTGAGCTCGCCATACGACTTCGCCATGGACAAGTCGATCGGCACCTACATCTGCACATTTGACTTCACCGAGACTGCAATGCATGCCCTGGTCCGGGCTCTATGTGGGTACATCGTGCCAAAAGGAACCTTGCCAGGGACGCTGCGGAAGAGTAAGAAGGTGCTCAAGTCACGCCAGCACTGGATCGTGGAAGAGTATGATCGCCACCGCGATAGCCGTGGGCTCGAAGAACTCACCAAAGCTGTTGCCCGGGCCAACATAGCTGACCTCGGTCACTTGGAGTCGATGCCCGCCGCGAGCTTCGAACTATTCAATCAAAACATCGGAGAAGCACACTTTGTTGTCAGAAACAGCAGTACCCATGCCTTGTACGGGTTTGCTGCCACCTACTTCATAGACGGAATCGGCATTCTGGGAGCCATCTTTGTGGATCCTTCCAAACGCAACGTGTCGGTCGGACGATCTCTCCACCGACGGGCGTTGCGCCATCTCGTCAACCAGCAAGGCGCCAAGAAGATACAGCTTGGAACCTCGTTTCCAGGCGTGCTGTTGGGCATTCCCATCGATGAGGGCGGGGTCAAGAGCTGGTTTAGCAACAACGGCTGGGACGTCCAGTTCCCCAAACGGCTAACCAACCTGATAATCAACGACCTGAGCAGCTGGACCATACCCGAGGGCTTGCTGCAGAGCATTCAGCGAGCGAACCTAAGCTTCGATCTGATACATGGTCTGGACAACGCCGAAAGCGTCCTCAGCCACGTTGGCAGCTGCGCGAACCCAGAAGTCTTGGAGTTGTACAGGTACGCTCTGCAGGAAATAAAGGCTTGCGGTATAGTGCGAGCAAAAGGACCGGGCGACACGCTGCTCGGAACCATCATCATCTGCCGACCAGGCAGCCCGCTATCGACCTTTGTGCCTCCGCTGCTCTCGAATATGGACGAGGGGATCGGGGGCATTCTCGCGCCGGTTGTATACCCAGGGTCACAGGACACCTTGATCCTCCAGGGGCTGACTCTGATGGGCGTCCGGCAGAACAAGGCACACAAGTCAGCAAAGACAGTGCTTAGCTGGGTAAGATCCCCTGCGCGGGCGGGATGAGTATCAAAGCTAACGAATCGACGGGTAGGTGCAAGACGACGCTTACGAACATATCATGGCGATGGGATTTGAAATTTTGCAGGCATACGAGGAGCTTACGACTGCGCCGGACAACGTGAGTTTTGCAGTCGGGTGGGGCGTTGAATTGGAAAGCTAATCGAGACCCTCTCTTAGTGGACTGATTTGAACTAGCAACCTCTGTGATGTGCCTAGGGGCGGCTCAGAGTATCGTATACCCTTCGGTTTTTCGCTTCATCTTCATTGTCTTGCATCCAGAAGGATACCGCCAGTCTAAAGATGGATTTGCCTGTCTATTTACGTACGCATATATACCAATCGTGTCTTGATCACACATTGTTCAGTTTGCAGTCCTTAACGAAGCTCGGCGAGACTTTAGCAGCTGCCAAGACGGAAGCGAGTAAGAACTTGATGTTTGATGCCTGATATGTGTGAGATCCTTCCGAAGTTACATCGCAGAGGCACACTTTGAGACCCTAGCTGTAAGGGCCTTGGTGATCTACCTCAATATCGACCAGATGTGACGATAAGGCGGAACCGACTGGCACGACGCCTGGTCCTCACCATTGCACCTGGACGCTCCGCTCTGAACAGCGGCCACTGGTCCGGATTTCCGGCTCTCCGTTGCTCCAAGGAAGGTTATCAAGGGGCACGCAAGGGTCTGCAGCTTGATGAGGCCCGGACGTGAACTGCAACTCTGCTAGATGAAGAGCCACTGGAAGGGTTTGATCTAGCAAATAGCTATTCGGATGGGCGGAAGCCATGTCAGCCCGTCCCGTCCCTTTTGCTCTCACCACCCTCTGTAGGTACCCCGCATTGGCGGGAAATCTCAAAACCGAGATTTGGAGAAGACGAGGTGTAAGGGTACGTACAGTAGATACCAGGGCGGGCAGCCTACCCCAATTCCGGCACATTAGCAATCGTGGACAGGTACAAAAAACCTGATGATCTCGTGGTCATACGCAAGATGTGAAGCCGGCATTAGCGTAACAATGGGAGAAGCACCGCCGTAGCGGCGGTATTGGGTTTGTGTGTGTGGTCACCTACCTACCGCCTGGGATGTCTGGGGCCCAGTGGGAAGTACAGAGAGAAGGCGGCCGAAGGCGCAGACCAAAGAGTGGAGGTGAATCGTCCGTGGTTCGCGGGGAAACTCTGGCCGACTGGGGTGTGGTGGAAATGACCTTGCAAGAGCTACGAGAGAGCCGTGGGGATCATCACCCGGCAAGCTCTTCGTAGTAAGAGATCTTGGGGACGAGGAGCTTGTCTGCTGTGTCCCGAACCATGAGCGGTGATTTCGTGGTAAGAACATGCGATACCACGAGAGGGGGGCCTGCATCATGAGAGAGCCGGCCGCTTCAAGACCTAGGAGCCGTGATTGGTAGATGCTTTTACCTCAACGTTCAATGGCTCCGCTGTCTGCAGCGAGTTCCATCCGGATCGGGGAGTAGTCGCCGCTTATCCGACAAGTCCCGGTTGGCTG